GTACTGAGAACTACGTCAGTATATACTTAGTATACTGATAACTACGTCAGTATATACCTAGTGTACTGAGGACTACGTCAGTGTATACATAGGGTACCGAGGACTACGTCAGTATATACCTAGTGTACTGAGGGCTACGTCAGTGTATACATAGTGTACCGAGGACTACGTCAGTATATACCTAGTGTACTGAGGGCTACGTCAGTGTATACATAGTGTACCGAGGACTACGTCAGTATATACATAGTGTACTGAGGACTACGTCAGTATATGCCTAGTGTACTGAGAACTACGTCAGTATATACCAAGTGTACTGAGGACTACGTCAGTATATACCTAGTGGACTGAGAACTACGTCAGTATATACCTAGTGTACTGAGGGCTACGTCAGTATATACCTAGTGTACTGAGAACTGTGTCAGTATCTACTTAGTATACTGATAACTACGTCAGTCTATACCTAGTGTACTGAGGACTACGTCAGTATATATCTAGTGTACTGAGGACTACGTCAGTACATACATAGTGTACCGAGGACTACGTTAGTATATACCTAGTGAACTGAGGACTACGGCAGTATATACCTAGTGTACCGAGTACTACGTCAGTATATACCTAGTGAACTGAGGACTACGGCAGTATATACCTAGTGTACCGAGTACTACGTCAGTATATACCTAGTGAACTGAGGACTACGGCAGTATATTCCTAGTGTACTGAGAACTACGTCAGTATATACCAAGTGTACTGAGGACTACGTCAGTATATACCTAGTGTACTGAGAACTATGTCAGTATCTACTTAGTATACTGATAACTACGTCAGTATATACCTAGTGTACTGAGAACTACGTCAGTATATACCTAGTGTACTGAGGACTACGTCAGTACATACATAGTGTACCGAGGACTACGTTAGTATATACCTAGTGAACTGAGGACTACGGCAGTATATACCTAGTGTACTGAGAACTAAATCAGTATATACCTAGTGTACAGAGAACTACGTCAGTGTATACCTAGTGTACTGAGGACTACGTTAGTATATACCTAGTGTACTGAGAACTAGGTCAGTATATACCTAGTGGACTGAGGACTACGTCAGTACATACATAGTGTACCGAGGACTACGTTAGTATATACCTAGTGTACTGAGGACTCCTAGTGTACTGAGGACTACGTCAGCACATACATAGTGTACCGAGGACTACGTCAGTATATACCTGGTGAACTGATAACTACGTCAGTATATACCTAGTGTATTGAGGACTACGTCAGTATATACCTAGGTATATACCTAGTGTACTGAGGACTACGTCAGTGTATACATAGTGTACCGAGGACTACGTCAGTATATACCTAGAGTACTGAGGACTACGTCAGTATATACATAATGTACTGAGGACTACGTCAGTACATACATAGTGTACAGAGGACTACGTTAGTATATACCTAGTGAACTTAGGACTACGGCAGTATATACCTAGTGTACTGAGAACTAGGTCAGTATATACCTAGTGTACTGAGGACTCCTAGTGTACTGAGGACTACGTCAGTGTATACCTAGTGTACTGAGGACTACGTGAGTATATACCTAGTGTACTGAGAACTAAATCAGTCTATACCTAGTGTACTGAGAACTACGACAGTATATACCTAGTGTACTGAGGACTACCTCAGTACACTAGGTATATACTGAAGTAGTCCTCAGTACACTAGGTATATTCTGACGTAGTCATCAGTTCACCAGGTATATATATACATAGTGTACCGGGGACTACGTCAGTATATAGCTGGTGAACTGATGACTACGTCAGTATGTACCTAGTGTACTGAGAACTACGTCAGTGTATACCTAGTGTACTGAGGACTACGTGAGTATATACCTAGTGTACTGAGAACTCCGTCAGTATATACCTAGTGTACTGATAACTACGTCAGTATATACCTAGTGTACTGAATATACCTAGTGTACTGAGGACTACCTCAGTACACTAGGTATATACTGAAGTAGTCCTCAGTACACTAGGTATATTCAGTACACTAGGTATATACTGACGGAGTTCTCAGTACACTAGGTATATACTGCCGTAGTCCTCAGTACACTAGGTATACACTGACGTAGTTCTCAGTACACTAGGTAGATACTGTCGTAGTTCTCAGTACACTAGGTATATACTAACGTAGTCCTCGGTACACTATGTATGTACTGTCGTAGTCCTCAGTACACTAGGTATACACTGACGTAGTTCTCAGTACACTAGCTATGTACTGACGTAGTTCTCACTACACTAGGTATATACTGACGTAGTTATCAGTATACTAAGTAGATACTTCTCAGTACACTAGGTATATACTGCCTTAGTCCTCAGTTCACTAGGTATATACTAACGTATTCCTCGGTACACTATGTATGTACTGTCGTAGTCCTCAGTACACTAGGTATATTCTGACGTAGTCATCAGTTCACCAGGTATATACTTACGTAGTCCCCGGTACACTATGTATGTACTGCCGTAGTCCTCAGTACACTAGGCATATACTGACGTAGTCATCAGTTCACCAGGTATATACTTACGTAGTCCCCGGTACACTATGTATGTATATACCTGGTGAACTGATGACTACGTCAGTATATGCCTAGTGTACTGAGGACTACGGCAGTATATATCTAGTGTACTGAGGACTACGTCAGTACATACATAGTGTACCGGGGACTACGTCAGTATATACCTGGTGAACTGATGACTACGTCAGTATATACCTAGTGTACTGAGGACTACGTCAGTATATACCAAGTGTACTGAGGACTACGTCAGTATATACTTAGTGTACTGAGGACTACGGCAGTATATACATAGTGTACTGAGGACTACGCAGTATATATCTAGTGTACTGAGAACTACGTCAGTAAATACCTAGTGTACTGAGGACTACGTCACTATTACCTAGGGTACTGAGAACTAAATCAGTATATACATAGTGTACTGAGGACTACGTCAGTATATACCTAGGGTACTGAGAACTACGTCAGTATATACCTAGTCTACTGAGAACTACGTCAGTATATACCTAGCGTACTGAGGACTACGTCAGTATATAACTAGTGGACTGATAACTACGTCAGTATATACCTAGCGTACTGAGGACTACGTCAGTATATAACTAGAGTACTAAGGACTACGTCAGTATATACCTAGTGTACTGAGGATTACGTCAGTATATACCTAGTGTACTGAGGAGTACGTCAGTATATACCTAGTGTACTGAGGATTACGTCAGTATATACCTAGTGTACTGAGGATTACGTCAGTATATACCTAGTGTACTGAGGAGTACGTCAGTATATACCTAGTGTACTGAGGAGTACGTCAGTATATACCTAGTGTACTGAGGATTACGTCACTATTACCTAGTGTACTGAGAACTACGTCAGTATATCCCTAGTGTACTGAGGACTACGTCACTATTACCTAGTGTACTGAGGACTACGTCAGTATACACCTAGTGTACTGAGGACTACGTCAGTATATACTAAGTGTACTGAGAACTACGTCAGTATATACCTAGTCTACTGAGAACTACGTCAGTATATACCTAGTCTACTGAGAACTACGTCAGTATATACCTAGCGTACTGAGGACTACGTCAGTATATACCTAGAGTACTGAGGACTACGTCAGTATATACCTAGAGTACTGAGGACTACGTCAGTATATACATAGTGTACTGAGGACTACGTCAGTATATACTAAGTGTACTGAGAACTACGTCAGTATATACCAAGTGTACTGAGGACTACGTCAGTATATACTTAGTGTACTGAGGACTACGGCAGTATATACCTAGTGTACTGAGAACTACGACAGTATATACCTAGTGTACTGAGGACTACTTCAGTATATACCTAGTGTACTGAGGACTACTTCAGTATATACCTAGTGTACTGAGGACTACGCCAGTATATACCTAGTGTACTGAGGACTACGGCAGTATATACATAGTGTACTGAGGACTACGTCATTATATCCCTAGTGTACTGAGAACTAAATCAGTATAAACATAGTGTACTGAGGACTACGTCATTATATCCCTAGTGTACTGAGAACTAAATCAGTATATACCTAGTGTACTGAGAAGTATCTACTTAGTATACTGATAACTACGTCAGTATATACATAGTGTACTGAGAACTACGTCAGTTATACCTAGTGTACTGAGAACTATGTAAGTATATATCTAGTGTACTGAGGACTACGTCAGAATATACCTAGTGTACTGAGGACTACGTCACTATTACCTAGTGTACTGAGAACTAAATCAGTATATACATAGTGTACTGAGGACTACGTCATTATATACCTAGTGTACTGAGAACTAAATCAGTATATACATAGTGCACTGAGGACTACGTCAGTATATACCTAGTGTACTGAGAACTAAATCAGTATATACCTAGTGTACTGAGAACTACGTCAGTGTATACCTAGTGTAGTGAGAACTTTGCCAGTATATACCAAGTTAGGTCGAATCCAAATGACATCATCTTCTTGCATTGAGAAACCACAAGGCACCCTAGCTAGCATTAAAAGCATCGACCTTAAAATCACAAATAAATAGCGCACTTCACTTTGAGATCACGATGCTTACCATAAAAATGTATTTTGAAAACCAGTGTCATAAGTATTTGTCCGTCGGCAGTCTATATCTTTAACGGAAGTCGTAATATTTATGCCAAACTCTTGCATGCCGAATCGACAGCGACATGTAAACGCAATATGAAGATTATACGGATGTTACTATTAAGAAATGGAAAGTTTACGATCGGAAAGACGAAATTGCCCCGCTTATCTTACTGCTCACTAGTCCGTCCCTGTATATGTAAGTAAAGATCGAGGAAAGGGACGAAGTAGATGAATATGTATTTTCCTTGATTCCAAGCTCAGGAGGGTATAAACGATCGATGTCGTCAATGAGTTTCAGTTTATTTAAAGACCGCACATCGTCGATATATCGGAATGTAAAGTTGAAGGATTTGGCTAGGTTTTTGTAGCCATTCCTGATAAGCTCATCGACAAAGCCAGTCTGCAATGAAAACAAAAACAAATCGACAACAAGATGGGCACAGTTTGTTCCCATTGGAAAGCACGCAGTATGCTGGAAAATTTTGCTATACAATTCAATCATTTGTTAACCAACTCTTACCGACTTGCGTTTAAACACACCTCTCTGCCGTCAATGTTAATGGAATTTATATGATGTGCTGTAGATCATCGGCTCGAAAAATAGTTTATCAGTAATCCAACTTTAGAATACTACAGGAAATACTATGCCGAAGGCAACCAGCATCGCAGAAAACAGAAGTAGCGAATACCCTAAATGCTGAATTAAGCAGGAAATAAGTACCATTTTTAAGGATTTGGTATGTCCTGGCCTTGGGAAAGAACCCATTGTCTACCCCATTTCAGCTTACGTTCAAAACTAAGGCCACATTTGAGATACTGCAAAGCAAGGCACTAGGAAACAAGAAATGCTAATAGGATGCAGAGAGAAAATACAAAGATACAACATGTTGCAATCGAGCCAGTAGATCAAGTTTGGTTTCTTTTATGTCCCCCCCCCCCCCCCCCCCAATATCAGAAGACACCGAAGAAAACCTCGATTCTGCAGGGGTCCCCACATTAGTTGGCTCTAACGACCCGCAGTGTGAAACTGCAGGGTAGCTGAAGCAATTAATTGACAGCTTCCGTCGATTATCTTCATCATAACGAAGCCATTGACTGCGTTACACCTTCTATTATTTCAAGAAAGCTAATGTTAGATCATTGTTGAAGAACCTGCACTTGACTATCGCACGTGCCACTATGCTGTGTCATTCCCACTACGGGTCAACAAAGACATCACTGCTGCCTTGGATAACAGGTGTAAAGCAGTGAGTGTTATGATTAACATGTCAGCTGCAATCGACATCATTAACTACGACTTCCTGATTACACTTCTCTACTACAGCTATGGGTGACTGTTGGACTGTTGATTCAGTATACTCGATCCAGACCTACTTGGGTGAACGACAACATTGTTTTGCAATAGAACCTTCTTCCGCGGTTTTAAAAACAGCAATAGTGGATTTCGGGGTTTCTCAGTGGTTGACGTAGAACCACACACTCCTTCATACAAAAGCACAAGGACAGACATGTCTTCGTCATAAGTTTGTCTATCACTGGTACGCTGATGAAACACAAATATGCTTAGTAATTTAATCACATGACAGCTGTGATACCATATTAGAAAGACTGGAAGCTTGTCTAACAGACACAAGTACCTGGATGAACGCCATTATGCTTAAGCTTGATTAGGAAAAGACATAACCAATCGTCAATCGTCTCACATACATCAAAGGCTCTCCAGCTAGAGGTTGATGCCAAAACATTCGAAGCAGTCTCGGACGATGAAAAATTTAGGTTATAGTTCCTTAGTCCATTAAATATGGAAAACAGTTTAATAGTTATTTAATATGTCTGTTTTCTACCATATGAGGACCATTTGTAATGTAGTTTACCACTACAGATACATACAAAACTTTATTACATTTGCGTGTTACCTCTCGTTTGGATTACGGCAAAACCCTGCTCTGTTAAATCTCTGATGCACTAACTAGTCGTCAGCAGCGCATCTGGTTGACCATACTGTATTAAGAGGGCATCAGTATTATATTCACTGCATACGATGACAAAGCTGTTAATAATACAGTTCCTATATAACAGCAGGAAATTGTCCTACTATACCAATTGTAACGATTATTCTAATAGGTGACAACATTTTGGCTGTGCATTCCAGAACCCTGTACAATGGCCTGTGGAAACCGATGTTTAGGGAAGGTATGTTTCACTTTCTGAAATCTGAAGTCGAAAACATTTACCACATTCAAGAAGGTTGTACAAATTTGCACTTTACACGCTAGAACCCGTACATTAATAGCAAATATGCTAGGGAGATGTATATTAACTATGTTTCATACAATTGTAGACAGTTCTTTAAACATTGTGTATATGTTCACAAGAAGAAAAACACCTGTATGTGTATTCTATATAAATGTGTACGCCCCTTATATATAGTATCCTACACGAGTTTTCTTGACATATGATATTGATGAAACTAGCTTAAGATATATTCACTTGTGACTTGTTTGTGAAAATCTACAACGATTATTATACATGAAAATTATATTGGGAGGTATTAAAACCCATTGTGTGTTATTTGAAAATTGTCATTGATGCGCGCAAATTTGAAGACACAAATATGAATACATGTAAGTTTACGGTAAATACGTATTTTAGCAGAGGTGCTAATTCGCTATATGAAAAAATAAACTACACGTTCGAGATAAAGTTGTATTTATGATAGCTAACTAAGCCGAAATGTATAACTCGCAAAATATTAGTAATTTACAGTATGTCAGATTGTTTTCGTTTAGATCTGAAAATGTAAATAGGAAATACGTTTCCAGACAATCGAACTATCGATAAACATTTCATTTCGAGTACATACCACTTTATTTCGACGCATTTGTCCCGGGGAGTCGGGGATAATATGCGTCGGGGGAGATGATGTCTTTTAATTTAGATAATTGACGTTTTACTTGTTGTTTTAAACGGTCGACATTCTCCTCACTTCGCCCGCTGTTTAATTGTCCCTGCCCACATCTTCACACACCGTACTTCTAAAGATTCAAAGGAAAATTCTGCTTGATATTGGATGATCTTCAATCAGTATCTTTCGTTGTTTACTCAATTGTGGTCAAACTCTCTCTGTGTTGGATGTGAGTAAGGCTTCTAGCCTGGGCGAACTGCAGGGCCTGGTATATCTCCATGCCTCGTTCGATAAGGGATGTGATACCACCTGGAGCGCGTCCAAAGTTGTCTTTGAAGTTGGAGCTCTGCTATATTATCGCTGTAGGCTGCAATGTATATGCATAATTTTACTGCAATTGTTTGGCAGGTAAACACAGACTAACTTGCTTAAATGTTTATTTCAAGTCAAAATACCACTTAAAAGGCACAATTTACAATGCCAATTGAATACATTTTTATGACATTAGTAGAAGCCTATTCCAATCAATCGAGATATAAACTTGATCGTTTTGAGAGTGGTGTTTAACTTCTAAAAGACAACGCTTTCATCTTCGTTCGTCGTATCATCTGCTCTAGCATAAGCGATAACGCCTAGGGTTTTATCTGAAATGCTTCATGTATTATTTTTTTCACGCAGAAATCCGACAGTCTCGTAAACGTCTGTGATGTTCAACGCCAATGAATAACAGTGCACTGTGTGTAACGTTTCAAGATAAACCTTTGTCATCAGCCGAAATACTCTCACAGTCGCCGGGTAAACAGATCATCTCTTGCATTCCTCATTTGTTAGTGTCAACCAGTCTGCAACAGGTCCATTAGTTCAAAGCATGATACGCTTAACAACTGACGAAAATGCTTCATTCCGCATGTTTTTGTCCTAAATATAAATATTTATTTATTTTATATGGCATCGAAATGGTTGTCTGAAAACCGAAATCACAAAAATGTATTTGAATTTTTAGGACATTTTTAAAATATTTCATTAAGAAGTTTAAGTAAACGATTTGTTAAGTTGTTGAGACTTTTCACATTGGAACTCCGGAACCAGTTGTTATACCCAATCTAGCGTATTGTTAGCTTATATAACAAAACCATAAACCGAACCTAAAATCGATAATAATAGGCAAAATATGAACAAAGGAAAGCTTCACATCGTGAAAAAGTACAAGGAGAATAAAATCAACAAATACACAACAACAAATATGTACAGGATTTAGCATCTAAAGGGGAAAATGAGAAATATATTAAAATGTTAGGATTATTTTTTTGTCTCCTTCAATTTCGACTGAGTCAAGTTTCTTTTTTGCCGTTTCTCCCTTTCATTCGCGACTTGTGTTTTCATTTGAATGTTGATTTTGAGCACAAAATGTAACAATCAAAATTATTAGGAATTGCGATAGGTGAGCCATATTTGTTTTAACACCAACGTCACAGGGAAATTGTTAAAATTATACCAGATAAAAAAAACGATAATTTCTTTATTCATTATTGGGTATTAACGTGGATTAAAATGTGTAATAGTTAAATAACTATGTTAAAATATATGCTTCTTTGCACCATATGACAAGGTCTTCTGCACGAACTATGTGTGTCGTATAAACATCAATATTTTTCGCTTAAAGATTCCGCCCACTGGTCGTTTAAAATTAATTTGCCTAGTTTAAATCAAAACACGTCTACCTACCGACCCTGCATAGCCTTTACATATTTACCCAGCGTCCCATTTACTTCGCTTTTATTTTTACCGGATATATAGCTAATTTGAAGAAACTAAAACAGCGAAATTCCCAGTTTTCACCATTAAAATGCTCCAGCGATAAATAATACAGGGCCAAATTACTAGTCATCAAACAACTTTCAATTTGTTTAGTTGATGCTCTTCTGGGGTTTTCTCTCAGGTGGAACTCTTCTAGAAAAGTGCTTCATATACTTTTATTTATTATTGTACCTTAAGTAACTTTTTTTTTTATCAGGACTAAAATCCAATTGCAAGATGTCACAATCACTTGGTCCCCTCTACCCAACGTATGCATTTTCGCAAAAGTGAAGGGAACCGTTTTATAGTTATGTCATCTGATTAATTAGTAGCTCAGGATCTGATTGAACGACATTAATCCTTATTAATTATTCATACTTTATAATAACTTCTGATAGTCTTCTTGTTTCATCATATACAGACATATATACCTTAATATTTCGATAGTTTCAACTGAATAATTATTATATAATTAATTTTAGAAAAAATAAATCAATATGAAGTTCATGCAAATGAGGGTCATGACGATCGGTGTCGACAGATGCACCACTGAAATGTAGCAATGCCACGAAGAAGAAAAAAACTAACATCGTAATTATTGTTGGTACTGTATGCTGACTCCACGTTATACGCCTCTCATACACGGATTATAACCCAGTTAGTTGGTATTATATGACAGGGGCTTTTTGGATAGATGAGAACATGGACAATTGATGAGCGTGCAAAAAGAAACCGGACGGATTTAGTAAGCATACATATCATTGATTGCTACAGATATGTAACGTTACCTATCGGAAACAATTTATAACGATATTACTGAATATGTTTAATGTCACATGAGTACGCGTCTAGACATTTACCTTGTCTTTTATCGGATAATCTGAATAGAAGAACATGAAATATCATATTTCTATTTCTATAATTAAACAAATGCATTTTTCAAGGCAATAGCAAGACCCTCAACCTAACGGAGCTTCGTACAGTCGATCTTGTTAAATTTGAGGTCATTCAGTTAACGTATTAGTTCCGAAAGGAAATTAAAATTCTACGTTTCATCAATGTAAACGCTGATCTATATCTTAAACATATTTTACAAATATTTCATATTTTCGGTAACACCTTCACATTATACCCTATAATCTGACCTAGAAGCAAAAGGAATAAACATTCTTCTACATCAAAAGTTCTTTTACTTTATGTCTAAGAAAGTTATTTGTGTGAAAGTATGGTTTAAGTCGGAGGGAATTAAGTGAGCTATTTGCCCCTAACACAAGATAGGAAGACGAGCATTAGATAGAATGGAGAAGTGATATCAACACGCTCCTTGCTGACATTTTCTTATCGTTCACCACTCCAAAGGAAAGGTGTATTACCTTCGAAAGACCAAGTAGCAGTCTCCGGCCGCTTAAAAAACTCGACAGGGCTCAGAGTTCCGCATTGAAGTACAGGAATACTTCTATAATGAAAATCGTAAAAGTTGGCTGGACATCAAAGCAAGAAGCCTCGTTTATAGAGGACACCCTGCCGAGACTCCCCGCTCGGTTTTACCAGTGTTGGCTTGTTAGCATGAAATACACAATGGCTTATGGAATCAGATTTGTCATTGTCATCTACAGCATATTAAATTACCCATTATTGTTAAAATGCTTTTAGACGTTTGTTGGCGGATTTTAAGATCCGTTAAAAGAAACTAAATGCGATGTTTGAATGAGGGTTTTTTTCTCTTCAAATTACCATGTTCATTTTTCAGCCCGTTTGATGTTGTGAGCTATCACAGGGTCGGCCTAGTGCCTACTTAATCCCGTATAATTTTGTTTTTCACCTGTAGAGGGTAACCATACATCATGCCATCAACACGAAATCTGTGTCTGGGTTCAGCTAGTTTGCACACACATGTGTTCATTCTTACTTTTCAGTATTGATTAATCAAATAATGTTGCAATTAATTAACTAAATAAATACTGTAAAATACAAATGTTAAAATGTATCGGTAAGCTATCTTGATCGTCTAAACTACCATATTGATTGTGGTTTATACAATTACCTTGAACGACGGCATTGTATTCGGTAGAGGATCAATACACAGAAATATCATTTGAAAGTAACTGTATAACATTCGTAGGATATTTAAAAAGGGTGACGGACTCTGGAGAGTTCTTTCAAAATGTGAATATTTTTCTCAAATTGATTCTTTAAATCTTTTGCGACGTGACCATTCTCACATTGGGATGGCAACAGCAATATACATTTCATAGTGTGTTAATCACAACCTTGATATGACGCGTTATGAACGAAACAGTTGCATAGAACTGTTAAACCATCTGACCAAATCAGTTTGAATCATGATCGACCTTCCCAATGAATAGGATACTTGCGATGTCTGATAAAGTATACATTAGAAATGCCATGGACTACATTTCTATTCGAAACTGATGGAGAGATTCGAGTAATCAGAAGTATCCATGAACATTTGTTTTTAGCATTATTTTTAACGTTGAAATAAATCATTGGTTTCTGCTAGGGTTCCCCATTAATCGTCTCGCACGCTACGGCAGGCCAATTGGTTTACATTTAGAATGTCCACGGAGACTTTACCGTTCCATTGCAAAATGTGTCCGTACAGTTAACCTTCGTTTGTGCTCACCACCTTGTAAAACCGCGCTATTTATAACACAGCCCGTGACTACTTGGGTTCATCTAGTAGAGACATCACATCAGAAGGCTCGAATTTCCTTTCCGATCCAGTGCCAATATTGCAATTTTCAATATCTATGGTTCGTCGGAAAGACAGATAACTGTATAATACAGAAATGCTACCGCTACACCGTGGATGTTTCTAATGGAACAAACCTATATTGAAGTAATGTTGTTGCCGTAAGGTAGATACTTAGAAGAGGTTGGTTGTTGGTTGGTTGGTTGTATAGGGTTGAATGTCGTATCAACAGCTAAGGTCATTTAGAGATGTGCCTTCATGTGTGTTGGAGGCACGGTAGTCTAGTGGTAGGAAGCCGAGCTCGTGACCGAAGGGTTGTGGGTTCGAGTCACGGCACGGCACTGTGTTGTATCTTTGAGCAAGATACTTTACTCCGGTTGGTCCAGTCTACTCAGCTGTAAATGAGCACGTGGTTGGGAAACGCTAGAATTGTTGAATGCTAGCTGTTAGCGCCGAAATGGCAACTCCGGCTGTATGCTCCCCCGGGAGTTGAGAAAGATATTGGCTGGGTGCAAAGGCCCTATAACCACGGATAATAATTTATGAACCCCTTTGTGGTAGCGCGGATCTGATGCTGACTTTATAGTGCTACCATGTCAAAGGTGCTGGGTTCGGCCTGGTCACATTGTGAACCAGTGGTTGCCATTACCATTAATGCTGAAAGTTAAGCAGGGAATATTCTGTAACAGTTACCATTTTAAGGACTATGGTCTGTCCCGGCCTGGGGACAGAGCTCATTCCCTTCATCACCTGGACGAACGTTCAATATCAAAGCCACAAGTAAGGTATTGCCAAGGAAGAGGATAGGAAACTAAAGGTTGTTAGCAGTAGAGAGAAATACAATGATCCCAAATATTGCTTAGGGTGCAGCAGATTTATTTTGAGCGGAAAAGACGTATATCACAGTAATGTTGCCGTTTTCCGATTCATGTGTACTTGGGAACGAACGTACAGTATAGTAATGATGTCGCATCAGGGTAGAGTTTTAGTACAAAAAGTATATAACGATAATGCTGTCGGTAAACAATAGATGTTTAGTAGGAATACAAACGTTTATTACAGTGTTGCTTTCACTATACGGTATCGTTAAATGGGGAACAAGCAAAGTGTTTTGGTTACTGTAAGTAAAAAACACAAGGGGAGATATAAAGTTCTGCGTTATTTTGTTGGATGTGTCGGTCATATATTAAAATACTTTTGGAATAGCTATTCAAATATTGGTAAATATCAGTGAATATCCGTCATTATTCATTAGATATATTGAAATTTTCTGAATAATTTATGAAAATAATTACTGTACGCGTATATATTTAGCGATATTCTAATTTCAGCGCTTTTAACATTGCGCTTATTTATGATCGCTCTAACTTATTTTACTTATCAAGTTTTCTCCTGTATATCACCCTCGATATCCAGGTGTTACGCTCACTTTCACTCTATACAAGCTGTTTGATTGGTCTCGGGTAAAAAAAAAAAGAACAATCACTAGGCTGTTACCTGTCCTTTGAAGATTACATAGGAGAGGCGCCCGACTTCAAAGCCAATCAATGTTACCGTTACGTGACCGCGAGATTCGTTTGATGTATATCAAAGGATCGAACAAGTCTTCTTGTCTCATCAACAAGGTGGCGCACAGTGAGCCTTCGATTTTGCTATGACATATTCCAGGGGTGTAGAGAGCGAAAGTGAACGTAACCCCTGGATATCGAGGATGACTGCATATATGGTCAGTGCGTCAATATATCAATATGCTAATCTGTTAAAATTCGATAAAATACTAGACATTGTGTTCGCTAAAATAAGTACTCTTACAGTATAAAAAATATTTGTATTAATTTTAGGATTTGAATATCTCAGGACAAATTTACTTACCAAGACAAACAATATTATTGTGTTAATCAAGTGAATGATTCTAAACATTCGTGAAACATATATTCACAAAAATTTCTGGAACACTCTTACTCTAAATCATGTAAGTGTTGATAGAAATATACTGTTCTGGTGTCAATAACATCCAAACAAAGACGCACTGCTGTTACATAGTTTAAGCATATTTTCGGATTTAGGAAACATTAGGTGGCCAAAAGTGACACCATTATTTACGAAACAGTTGTTTTCTTTCATTAGCCAAATCGTTCCAAAGATGCAAATCACTTGCCACTATTGTTTTTTAAAATAACTCCAAAATGATGCAGTAAATGATTTGGGAATCGTCACATACACAGTGTAAATGTTCTGTGTTAAAGACATCAGAAAAGAGCAGTTTTAGTCCAGGGAAAAAACGACATCACGTTGACATTTACACCTAGATGGCTGATGGAGTGGTGTTTGTTTGTTTTGGGTTTAACCTCCTCGCAACAGACAAGGTCATTTAGAGACGGGGAGACACCGCCGGAAGGGAATAAATAAGATAAAAAGGAAGTGAGATGGAAAGAGAGAAAGGAGGAGAGAGAGAAAGGAAGAGAGAAAGGAAGAGAGAAAGAAGAGGGAAAGAAGAGAGAGAAAAAGAGAGAAAGGAAGAGGGAAAGGAAGAGGGAAAAAAGAGAGAAAGGAAGAGCGAAAGGAAGAGGGATAGGAAGAGGGAAAGGAAGAGAGAAAGGAGGGAAAGGAAGAGAGAAAGGAAGAGGGAAAGGAAGAGGAAAAGTAAGAGAGAAAGGAGGGAAAGAGAGAAAGGAGGGAAAGGAAGAGGGAATGGAAGAGGGAATGGAAGTGAAAAAGGAGGGAAAGGAAGAGGAAAAGAGATAAAGGAAGAGAGAAAGGAAGAGGGAAAGGAAGAGGGAAAAAAGAGAGAAAGGAAGAGAGAAAGGAAGAGCGAAAGGAAGAGAGAAAGGAAGAGCGAAAGGAAGAGGGAAAGAGAGAAAGGAAGAGAGAAAGGAAGAGCAAAAGTAAGAGGGAAAGGAAGAGCAAAAGTAAGAGAGAAAGGAGGAAAAGAGAGAAAGGAAGAGAAAAAGGAGGGAAAGGAAGAGGGAATGGAAGAGAAAAAGGAGGGAAAGGAAGATGGAAAGGAAGAGGGAAAGAAAGACAGAAAGGAAGAGGAAAAGAGAGAAAGGAAGAGCGAAAGAGAGAAAGGAAGAGGGAGAGAGAGAAAGGAAGAGGGAAAGAGAGAAAGGAAGATGGAAAGGAAGAGAGAAAGGAAGAGAGAAAGGAAGAGGGAAAGGAAGAGAGAAAGGAAGAGGAAAAGAGAGAAAGGAAGAGGGAAAGAAAGAAAGGAAGAGGGAAAGGAAGAGCGAAAGGAGGGAAAGTAAGAGGGAAAGAGAAAAAGGAAGAGGGAAAGAGAGAAAGGAAGAGGGAAAGAGAGAAAGGAAGAGGGAAAGGAAGAAAGGAAGAGGGACAGGAAGAAAGGAAGAGGGAAAGGAAGAGATGTAGATCCCAAGTGATGCATTTTGGGGCGACATATCGATCATTTTCAGATTTCCTCAATGTCTCACAAGTAGAAGCCACATAATGAAACCCCCGGTTCTGCAGGGGGTCCCACAATTGTTGCATGCTGTTGGATACAACATGCCAGTTCTTTATCCGTGTTTGCAGGGGTCCACTGATCGACAAAATAGGGTCACATACGTTAAACGGTACTCTTCTGTAAATGGTATGTAATGTGAAAATGTCGTACGTATTAAATGAAAAGACTAAAAAGATACAATTATTGACAAGGAAACAAAAATAGACAGATAACAAAAGGCACAGAGATATAAAAGGCAACATATGGAGTTGGAAAGTATTCCCGGTATTATTTACCCAACATACATGAACAAAGTAGCGTTTTGTTATTTTAATTTCTTAAATGTTTCATATTGATGCCAATTAAAATTTAACATTAATTTCTATACTTTTTTCATGAACATTACACTTTGCAAAAACTAGGTTGTTTACAGCAGATGTCATTAAAACGATAGGAATCTATGTTCTGCATTGAACAGAGTCCGTCCACCACATGGAGATGGAAATACAAAAATAACTTAATTATAATTCGGAAAAATATCATTTAATTTATATAACGGTCCATTTCTTCCGCTTTCGTTTGTGATTCTAAAGAAAGCACAAAACATTTGAATTAAATAATTCAGTGTGTTTGCACCTTGAGAGCATCCATTATTACTTTCATAAGAAGTTGATTATCCCCCCTTGCGGAGTTTAATTAACTAAACATTAGGAAGGGGGCCATAATACAGTGTAATGAAACAAGCCCAGGGAGACCGTCCTATACCGTACGACTTCAAACCCTTCTTCACCACTAAATAGCTATAAACGTGTGTGTTTAGGAAAGACTAATGTTATTTAAGAAATTCAACTTTTCATCATGTTATCAAATTAAGTGGGAGGGCTCAGGGCAGGTGCGGATTAAACGACAAAACAGTCTTTGTTGACTGATCAGAACCCCTGGGTGCGTTGTTTGGATCATCATTTGTCATTTTTATTAAAATCTCTTAGATTAACGAATGTGGTTAATTCTTTATTCTCCATATTACGCCTCCTCGTTATAACTCGCGATAGAATTCGCACTATGTGGTGGTAAGCCTGTATCTGATAACTTGATTAGAAACTCCATTGTAAACCGTGACTTTCCACGTTTGTTTGTTAAAGCTGATCTTTTGGGTGTAAAATATCTTTACAACTGATTCATACCTTTAAGTTCAAGCCATTTATCAAGAATGAAGAACCGCTAGACTATCTTGCTGTGCGTAAAATGAACTCAACAACAGCCCAATTCAGGCGGATATTGTATTACCGACATTTTTAGGTATACCTAGATGACTAATATAGACCGTACAGAGATCAAAAGAAACCGACAATGGTTTCAGTGAAGATAAACAGAGAACATTATATTTGAACAAAATCCGATCAAAATGTACGTACGAAAATTAAATATGTATAACAGATTAGAAAAGTCTCTATATGAAAAGCTGGGCAAAATTGGTAATCGCTTTTAACTATTGGTAAATACTATTACATCAAAGGAATTTGAAAGTTGACTGCACTTAGATTAGCGAAGGTGATATCAGTCCTGTAATACTAATTTATGAATCGTATAAGGTGAGTTGTCGCTATATCCACCTGTAATCCCACAGAGAAGAAAGTAAAGCAAAGTTGGTAATCGTTTCTATACTTTGTAACATTGCATATATAATGTGTACAAAAAATCAAGTTCCCCGACCGGTGTGGTCTGCGTGTGACTTGGAATATAGTCAGCTGATTAGTAGGATACGGGGTTTCATCATAATACAGACTTTCCGTATAGATATGTATTCATATGAATGAGCAAACGCTCTTATACACATAGGAATTTGAATTTTGATTTTTTAATGTAACATCTACAGTGCGTTTCTTTTCATCCTAAAGTATAAAATGTAGTATATATAGATATTAATAACACACAGGAAAGTTTTATTTTTCGGAATTTAATTCATTTAGGAATTTATTCGAAATCATATTTTACATCGTTTAGTGCACTTTAAAAGAAATAAAAAAAATTGTATGTTTTGTTTATAAAATATGTATCTAAGGTTTGTTTTGTAATTCAAATAATACATATATAAAATATTGCGTCACCATGAAAATGATACCACTTTATGTCTGAAACAAATGCTAGCCAAATACGTTTTTTGTGTATCGAAAAAGTCTTAATGTTGAATTGACAATGCCTGTATTTAATAACTACAAAGATCACAAAACAAGTTACAAGCTAAACATTTCTTTTTGAAAATAGAAACGTTAGAGTACAAAAATGTCCTAGAATGCCAGTGTATTTATAAGTAGCACGACAATAATAATACGTACATAGCAAATATGGTATTCAAGTACCAGCATATTATATTTTTATTTGATTCCTTTTTCACACATGAACCAAACCTTGTGAAGGTATGCTTAGAATATACAACGATGAAAGTCAATTGAATGCTTAAACTGTAATAATTTTAATAATCAAAAGTATTTAGTACATTTCTTAACAAGCAGTTTTCTCAGGTATACATTAACATAACTTTTTAAGAGAATCAGGATTATATGAAAATCATTAATACATATAAACAAAATCACGTATTCCTAAAAGTCCAACTCACATTAAAAATGAATGAAGGTCATACATGTCTTTTAATTATAATGAACAAAACGTCAATATAACATATATGATGTTTCTTCTGTTTGAGTATTTTCTAAATCATACATGAATTTACCAGTGATTTGCACTTCAATGTATTAACTATTGATACCAATATCTGGTGAAATCCTTAATAAACATTTATCTCATAGATACATTAAGATGTTATCTACTATAAGTATACATCAATGTACATACATAACACATTTCTTTGTCCAATTCTTATCAATTCTTTTGCAGCATGAACAGAGATAAAACTGATTGACGTAGTTTCATTACAATGAAAACACATCAATATATTCGTTTGATACATGTTTTTATAATACATATTTAACATGAACATCAATGAAATTAATTGAAGTATTCTTATTGAAATAATCGAACGTCAATAGAAAGTTTCCCACAGTGGTCGTCGGCCACATGTCATCGCATAACAACAGATAGGCTTGGATCTATGGACAGGTGAGTAATATTCAAACTATGGTAGTTTCAAGTGACTATATTGTTTTTTTATTGGAAGATAAAGTAAACAGATTTTTATTTATTTCATAAATGATCATGATTCATCCCGGGCTTACGTTTGTGAATCGTAAATCCTGACAGTGTTGAAAATAACTCTTCCTGTTAGATTTTTATATTGTTTAAAACTCGTGTTTAATAATTTTTTTAAATCTTTATATCTTTAATATTGTTGAAATATGACATTTAATACCTCCTTTACAAACATAGATAGGAGATAATTCCATAATGAATTCAAAGCATTGTACTAAGGGGTTATTTTACTAGTTTTCTTTTCTTAATCATCATGATTATTACTACTGTTTATTGAACATACACGGACTTAAAGAGTATATATTTATTTGGTTTATCTTTTTGTGTGAATGTATTTTCGTTTCATGTTTATCATCGTAAATCTACAAGCAAATATTTATATATTTGTTTAGTCGTAATTATCGATCAACATTATTAGGTTACAAAGGGCAATCACGATAGCTAATTGTTAAAGATAGTATGTGTTTAATGGGAGACACGGGAAAAAAGAAGGGAAGAAGAGGAAAATGGAAAGGTTTCAAATGTCTAGCGGATTCGTTTGGGTTCTACAGCTACAACATTGGTGATTCTATGATTTTTACGTTTTGGCCTTTACTGACCAAAATTGCCAAAACTGCAAACATATAATGTAACCCCCACCCCCATCCCACCGAAAGTGATAGAAATGGCACTTAATTACAGTACGTTAAAAAGATCATATCACTACCAAAACTCTATTGTAAACATGATTAAACGATCGTTAAGTCATTTCCTTAATAGTAGCATATCACCCTCTCCTAAGAATTATGATTTTAACATGTAAACAACAGATTATCGACGTGTCAAGTAGAATGTAATTCGAACTCAAATTCGATACATTCCTTGTGAAAGAATGGGCAAAAACACAATTAACTTGAAGACAATGAAAAAGTACCAAACGAATAAGTCTGGGTGGTCAGGAAAGGTAGGCGTCTTTTGTTTCATCGGTGATACCCGACGTGTAAATCTGCACAATCGAAGTAATTTCAAGTCTTTAAAATGCCCTGTGGCAAAGACACAACAACGCACACCCATGAGCATAAATGTCGATGTTCACATCGCACAAGCAAATAAAACAATGAAATCACAATGTTGATCATTACATTTGCCAAAAGGCTTTTGCAACCATCATCTTTCCAAACATTGTGTTGTTAAATTTGTCCATCAGCAGTTGACATTTGTCACGAAAGCCTTCGAATACTGAATTAACTGTGATATGCAAACACCGTAGGTTGGGGAAGCAGGGATGTAACTGTTCAGAAAGGAAATGTTTACGACTGAAAAATAGAAATCATCACGCTTATTGTGCAACTTAATAGCACTGATATTACACCGTTACTGTTGGTCAAGCTGCAAATCAAGATAAAGGTGAGCGGCTGATTTAGAAGAGATTTAGTCGCTTGTGTTTTATTTCCGTCAATTATAAGTTCCTGTATCGTCTTTCACTTCTGATGTCTTCGTTTTAAATTTAACTGTGGCAAATGCTATTGATTATTTTTTGTTTAACGTCCATGCAACATCTAAAGTAATTTGATGACACATGTCTTGTGACGCAACGCCGAGAACACAAATAAGTCGGATACAATAGAAAAGAAAAAATGTCTGAAGTGTTGATGTATTTGACCCTCTTGTACTAGAATGAAAACAAACAATGGTATTTTAAATATCTATTTATTACGTCATTTTAACAAACAAACGGCTATTAATGGCATATAACAAGCTAAGGGTATTTAATCAATGCTCCTGTGTTCGGCAGAAAAAAAATACAATATATTGATTAAAAGTATTGCATAATTATCAAAATGTGTTCACTTGTTTTACTTTCCTTTATTCCAGTTGATTATTTCCTCGCCGGAAGGATAACCAGTATAAGTATACCGTAACCAATAGCCGCAAGCTTATTGTTTTATAATGAAGAGGCGAAACAGTGGTCCATGCTTTGTATATTAAATGCCTTTGATTGTTCCTGGTCACCCTTTGTCAATGGTTGGTGTAGTTATCAGCACTTTTGTTTACCCACTTAAAACAAGCCGGCTGTACTTGACAATCCTAATGTGACATCAGCGCTAATCCTATTTCCTAGCCAACAAAAACACAGAATTATCTCTACAGCTCCTCGTTTTGATCATTCAAAATTTATTTGCATACGTGGGCCTGTAAAACAAAAGTCCAATAAGCTACAGCTAATTTGAAATTCCGGTACGACCTGAACCTGGTACGGAAGCATATGGCGGGTCTGCTAAACAATCCCTTTAATCGGTGGGCTTGGGTTGTGTCAATTTGATTTGCACTTAGATTAAGAATCATAACAGAGACTGTAACAGGACAAATATCTAGATGTTATAATATCATGTCCTAATTCCTTACAATGTGTAAACGTGTCAATATAATTTCACGGTAATTGTTGACCGTTTCGAAGATTTGATCTGACGAACTCCCCAGTGGTTTTCTTTTTTTTTTAACAATCCCCTTATATCCTGGAATGCGACAATACGTGTTTCTTTCAATAAAATTTCTTGAATTTTGTAAAATTTTGTTATATCGTTTTTAACAATTCATCTAACACCCTGGGGTTGTCTACTTAATTTTCACCTTACTGGAAAAATAATCATAACTTCTATTTCAACTCACAACAATTTCTTTGCTCAGATGAGTTAATTTAACCACAATAACGGTTTTACCATACCTAGACGTTTTTGGTCTACACGAGTGATTTACTGACGGTTTTCATGTGGTCTGTCAGTGTGAGGCTAATAAGTTAAACACATAACTATACCTCTAACGATTGACCTCTCCTACCTGTTCATCGTCAAGTCATTGCTTTTGATGACAAAGGTAAATACAAAGATTCCGTGTGAAAAATTCTAAACATTTCTTATCTGGCTATCATTGTCAATCAATAAACAAGAGCAAACCGCGATACTCTGTATAAAGGGGAGTTATCGTAATAGGTGCATGTGATCGATTTAACTTCAGGCGTCGATAATGGTGAACGATAGCTCAATCAAAAGCGGTTTTCTTATTTGAAACAGGTACTGTACAAAATTGATGTGATGTAGGGGTATCCCATTTCGTAAAAAGATGGATATCGACGGGGGTTAAAAAAATGTGTATTGTTCTGTCTCTGTTATCGAACATTTGATATGATTCAGCATTCCCTGCATGACAAATAAACAAGAAATAACACCATGAAGTTTAATTAATTTTGATGGAATTCGTCATCTTGATTTGAATTGCAAGTCGATAGTGTTAATGCTTAGAGTTTCCTAAGCTTTTGATCTTTGATCTCACATAACTTAACAAAGTTTAATTAATTTTGATGGAATTCGTCATCTTGATTTGAATTGCAAGTCGATAGTGTTAATGCTTAGAGTTTCCTAAGCTTTTGATCTTTGATCTTACATAACTTAACAAAGTTTAATTAAATTTGGAAAGATATATTTGATGGATGCATTCTTTCAGTACTTTTAACAATTGAAAAGCGATTAAGGTGATTTTTTTATAATGTTTTATGCACGTGGTCGGTAATAAACACTCACTGTGTAGGTTACTATAATGTACTAAGATGGGACATAGAGCTTGAATACTGATGGTTTTTTTTTAAATTGTAAGAATTTTGAAGTGTAATTTTCTTTGATTATTGTTTCGTATATAACTTTCACAAATATGCCTTACAAATTTCTAGTATGATTCCTGACCACGAAACTGATGACAATTCATGATTTTTCACGTTCATTGTAGCAACGTAATCATTCAAGCGGTTACAATATAACTGTTACTTTTATTTGACCAATTGGACATACTGGGAAAAAATTAAGAAATATTTTAATTACTTTTACCTCTCTGAAGAAGTTTTTTTCAAGTTGTTCGACGGATAGTGTTATTTGAAGCACCAACACCTACAATATTATATCTACTATATTGTAATATAATGTTAATAATACGTTATGAGTATCTATGAATTTGTTTCGTCACTAGGATACGTCTCACAACAAGTAAATACCGACGTGATGAAAATCAGTGTTTGTTTGTATTAGAACATATATATTTAGAAATATAGTATCCTCCTTCGTTTACACTGTCATATTAGTTCGATATTGTTATCACAGACTTTATATTATGACCTATTAAAGTTTTTATTATGTAACAGTTCACGAAATCTATCAGACGACACTTAACTATCTCATAAGTATACACAACGCCGTCAAATATATTCAAATGAACACCTTGCTCCATATAAGATTACGCCCGTCTTCACTGCGTGTATACCACTGGGAAGTAATCGCAGGTTTCTTTCATGTCTACCCTCCGAGGAGCGTCCTGTATCTTACCTGCCGCGATCAAGGTATTTGTACAAAGGCTATATCTTAGTACTGGTTTTGAATATCATACCTATGTAATCTTCAACTTTTCATTCTCAACCTCTGGTATTTTTCATCCTGCGGATACCCCGCATAGATCAACCCCGATGTTTTAGAAATATTCCTAACAAGATACATAGTGAGCTAATTACCGACCATTTGGAGGTCGTGGGTAAAAACCAGTGGCTCGCCTACTAAATTCTTTTATAATTACTTGTAAGTGTATTTCACTCACCACCAGGCCCTCTCACATTCTCTGTATGGACCCGTACAGGACATACCTATGTTCACTTTAATTCGATAATATATCAACATGGCTATACGATGTTGTGTGACTTTACGAACACAGATTTGATATGTTATGCGTGTTTGATTTTACGCACATAGTCTGTTGATATGAATGAACTCAGAGGCAGTTGGTTAAAATAAACTGACGTGTGTTATAACCCCGCCCATATCTAACATCAAAGGGTACCGCGACAGAGGTGTTCTGTAGAACGGGACTCGGAGGAAAACTACAAAAACAAAACACAACCACCTCAAATGGTGTTTGTCCATAATAATGGATTTAGACGCTTGTAATGATTTAAACATTTGTGTAAGTCAAACACTTATTGGAGTAAAGCTTCACATTTGAGTGATTGAAAATGATCCGTTTGGTTGGCGTCACGCCCCCTCGCCACGCCCCCATCACAGGTTTGAATGAGTTACTAAACTCACACGTGGTGTAGAGAGCACTAATATATAGGCTTTAAATATGAAAACCCAAGACATTTCAATATATAATTGTACAAGTTGATGAAGGCGAATATGGATATAACACGTGCAGAACTATGTATAGACAATGAATTTCATAATACAAACGAACTCTAATTATTTTATGGGACATGGTGTTTTTGTAGTCTGATAACAGAAAATAACCTTTCTTGCCTTCTGGAAAACTAGAAACTGTCTTCCTGTGCTTTTATATTTTCAAACACAAATGATATATTTTCTCAAGGTGTTGCCGGTGGATTCCATTTAGTAGGGTTTTGTGATATCGGTGATTTAAAACACTCACAATGGGATATTCGACTAGAAAGCTGCAAAGAGATATGCTCGTGATATTACTGGTGTGGAGTCATATTAGTTTTGTGTATGGACTAGTGTTTAATAGGAGGGCTGAGGCATGTGAACCAATACAGATTCCCATGTGTCAGGGAATGCCGTACAATATGACCAGAATGCCAAATCTCCTTCATCATAGTACACAGGAAAATGCAAAATTATCCAGTGAACAGTTTGAAAAATTAATAGAACAAAATTGTAGTGACGTTCTCTTATTTTTTCTGTGTGCCATGTATGCTCCTATATGTACTGTGAACTTCCAGCCTGAACCTATTCCACCATGTCGGAGTGTGTGTGAACGCGCTCGCATGGGATGTGAACGAATAATGAATGAACATAACGTTTCGTGGCCGGAGTATCTTGACTGTTCCTCTCTCCCTCGATATGACAGAGGAGTTTGTGTATCACCGGAAGCGATCGTCTCATCTCTACCTGACCGTTAGTATTACCCATTGTTATACTCGAATTTCTTTGTAACGAAATTATAAATATCCATTGTACAGTTTCGGAACTTGAATGAACCTATAGCCCATGTTGTGAAATGCATGTTATCTTAATTCGGAATGCATATTTCATTTGATATTTATCTGTGACATTAAGTATAGCTTGCTTTCGTTTTGAAAGTTGTATCGGTAAATCTAAACGATAAAAGCTCGTAACTTCTGTAACATTTCAACCTTATCCTAGGCAGGAATCTTTCAGTAGTTTCGATTTTGACAGCTAGGCAAGAGATCCAAGGCTTTTTATCAATAACATAAATACAGCTGAACTGACGTTGTAAATGGTTAGTATTGATAAATGTTTCAAGAGTAGAATCTCGCCAAAGAAAACATGTTCGGCCCAGATACGACCACCTGTATTACTGCAATACACGAATAATGTATATTCACCAAAACATGTGTCCGGACCAGTTGTGTAGTTAGCTTACTTCAGTATTGGATCTATCTGATAGTTGAGCGTGTAAGGTATAATCTTCGTTACAAGGGAAAGGTATGCGGACGAATTCCAGACTCAGTAGGCAAGTGTTCTTCTTGCAGGGTTAACACAATATCCTTTATTACGTATTAGAAAGACGTCGTTTCTACCATGTTCTATCTTCGGCTGTTTAAAACATACTTCGTCTCCTTTTAGATTCTAAATGGTTTGTAATTCAATTATGCTACAACATAATTAGTTACTTGACATTGTTAAAGATACCATTATCCATATGGCGCAGACGAAATGAAGATAGAGGGCATGAATAAAATAATGAAACAGACAGGAAGTTCACATTTAAAAATGTTAGCATATTTTATTGTTTTTCATTATAAGTGTAATTAGGGGTTTGAATAACTTTGTATTTATCTGTTTAAAAGTATCTGTTATCAGAGTGATGCTAAATCTTAAGCAAACGATCGCAGTCTTTGGAAAGCTAGATTAAGGTAAAGTATAGTACACACATTCAATTTTTCGCCGCCTTGTTAAATAGTAAAGGCTATCGTTGATCAACTTCCTGTTAATTCTGATGGGAACTACTTACACACATATTGAGTACTATAACTCATACTTACGGAGCAGACACTAATGTCTGAATATCTCTATGTTAAACTTCTAGAATTTTTATACCAGAGATCAAGGTGCAGCTAACCAAGGTGTTATATCTTTATCACGTGGTAATATTATACAATTTTAAACGTGGTTAATGTTTTGATTGAAATAGGTAAATCCATGTAACAGTGGTAGCAACGAAAGCATAGTAATGCCTCGGTATGTCGAGTTTGCTAAAACCATGAAAAACATCAACATAAAAGGGGTATTTCGTTTATTGGAGTTTAAATACACATAAAAACCATGGGAAATGAATCTCTACGAGATTTATATTTCATGATCATACTAGTCAGTATCAACCTATTTAGATATGTTTACGAGTCCATTACATTTGACTACATCCGTGAAATACTATAGTATGGTAAACATGGACACACTTTTTGTTTTCTGTTGATCATTAAACTTATCATACAGCAAAGCATGTGTTGTCACAACGTTATGTAAAACCTTGACATCTTGCCCCTAACCTTACATTTATCAACTGTTTGAGGGCCTTATGGTGGTGATGCGAGAGCGTAAAAAGCCTCAAACATCCAGCTATACCTTACACATATGGTTGTGATTGTACAACAGCTTAATCTTTATGACGAACCCCTGGGTTGGTAAATATATGTAATATAAATATCGAAATACAAACCAATGAATGAGAGAGGTATCTCTGGTTGCGTGACGTACTCTGTTTTTACACTTATAACACGACATGATCCTCACCCTATTGCACTATGAAGTATTTATATCATATTAACGTACATACACGTCATTCATCAATTAATAATAAGTATATAATTGTATAAACGGCCCAATTTGACAACCCAAGGGGAACACACAATCTGGAATATCTTTAAAAAGATTGAAAATGATAATAAGCAATATATTTACAGCGATTCGAAAGGATCATCTGCAGAAATCGTATTGTGGAATATTTTATTGAGCAACTTTAGTCTTGATTTTGATTGATATATATATGTATATGATCAAAACTTGTACTCGGAACATTTGTGTACAATCGGTCGTCTTCGTTACTTATACAATGAAAAATAAAATACCAAAGTTTCAGGAGAAAAAGACGCGAATTTGATATTTACAACAACAAGGACTAACCAGCCACCTAAACTAATCGTTTAGTTTGTTTGAGGTTAGATGTACACACAATAGCTAATAACATGTGCAGATAGTGCCGTATCACTGAAAAGTTACATTTTGATACTGACAACGGGCTAACAAGAAATGACATTATGAAGCTCCTCTCAGAAACTAAGAGTCGACAGGTATGTTTGGGTTGTAACCACCTCACTGTGTGCTTCTTATGTCTTCTGTCTATGGTTAGTGTAGTGAACACCATTGATTGTATATAGGTTTTACCTCGAATACGTGTTGTATCCTGATTCGGTAGATTGATATCGCGTTATCACAATAGTAGTTTAAAGAAAATAGTGGCAAATTCCCAAAACTGCCTTTCCAACCTCTCTGTATTCTCTTGTTTTTCACACAAATAACACTTCAACAGACACAGACAAACGATACTTTATCCCGGGGCTGCACCTCAGATGAAAGCTAAAACAGGGGAAAAGAAGTACGTCTTATCAAAATTAAAATTGTTTATGTGGTATTTCGCGGTGATGTGTTGTCTGGTTGCTCCTTGTTAAAAGTGAAAAGCTTTGTCGAAGAGGGAAAAACTAACCACAGATCCCAAGCCCAGGTCATCTTGTCACTTATATCAAACGGAATAGTGTCTTAAACACAACATCCGTCAACATTTAAATAGTTTTGTTTTATGAAATCTGATGAATGCGGTTCGGGTCATAAAGTTGTTAAGACAAAAAGAAGTTGATTAATAAACTGAGGTTTTTGCTACACACTTGTTAACATTAGAGAAAGTAATCCTTTTGTAAGTAAAGTGAGAGTTAACCTAAGGAATGATAAATGGCATTACTTCTGATTTCATAACTACATATCAATTAGGCTACCTACCACTTAGGTATGCCGGTCATGTAGACTTGCTTAATTGACTTACGAATTAGAGCGCGTGCTGATAATTTGTTGTTCCCTCAATGTAAAACAGAGATGACGAAGAACCTGCTAACATGTTTAAACATATAGCAAAGGTAATAAAAAACGCATGTTTCTGTCATTCCTTGTCCCCTTACTCCGGACAAACGTTGTTATCAATCTGAACAAAGGGACCATAATTCTGTATATACTTCGTCACGAGACCCGGGTTTAATACGCGAGACTCCGCCGTGATATGATTCACTGGTATAAACGAAAGTTGGCAATTTCAGATGACGAAGTTTATGAGATATGCTATGGAGACTGTGGTGAACGGACATATGGGCGGACGAAGTACCGTTAGCATCGGTGGGACCCATGAAAATAACAAGTGTTATTTATTTGAAAAATAATATTTGTCGTTCGTCCTTTTATATCAAACCGTCATTAATTTATTCGTCTTGAAACATTTTGTTCTAGATTTTTGATAGTGCTATTGGTATATTAATGAAAATTATATTGATCACTGACATTTATTTATAATATATATATAAGTATTTAACATATTTGTTCCTATATTTTCATTGATCACTATAAGTTACAAGCTGGATGAAAACCATTTTGTCTGCAATCGTTGTGTAAAAATAATGTGGCATTAGGGCAACACAACTTGATACAACTGGGTCGGGCCATGTTTCGATTTTTTCAGACTGACCTTTACACCGATCATCCTTAAACAAAACGGAATGTGTTTATAAAAGCGAATTATGATATCATTAAATGAGATTATGAAACGCCTTGAATGTTTGAGTGTAAACAATACACTTCATCATCAAGCAAACCCCGTGTATTGATAAACTAACGCTCAATCTTCAAAGAAACGTTTCCATATCATGCATACAATTCGATCATCCAACTCTACACGCAGGCAGGGCTATGGGATGAATATACCTCACAGGGGCAAAGCCACGAGCTATCGCTTGTGTGTTTGTTATAAAGCGATTTTAATGTTGCAGAGCTTATCATGGCTAATACGTCTGCTGATAACGCGTTTACGGGCAATGCCGTGTTAAGTTAGGAACAATTAAACAACACTATCATTGTTAAAGTCTTCAGGAAAAACATGAGATAAAGTTGGCAATTTTTTCGCATGACGTGATGGTGTTACTTCTACAGCAGTTATCAGTTGGTTCATATCAACTTGAAAGAGGTGTAGGATACTATCTCAAAAGCAGACGATTACTTTACGTAATATGAAAATCCAATACTGGTTTGTTAATATGTTAGGGAATGTGTACGATACGTGTGCTCGTCTCTGTTAACACGTCCTGAACTTTGTCTCCTATTAGCTTATACAATAACTATAAAGTCGACATATTTATTTGGCATATTGTGAGTCATGAAAGGTAAAAATGGATTTTAAGGGATTCGTTTATTTCATAATGTGTGATTTGACTATATATCCAACTTAAATTCATTTTTTCAAACTCAATTAATGTTTGATATCTGCAATATTTTCAGTTTAAAATTGTAGTATAATACCTCTTATTGTACGACTTATATGATCATATAGATAAGAGTAATTCCTATTATAGATGCTTATGAAAGCACCATAATATATTTCTATAATTAATTCTTCGCGGTATTTTTGATTTGGACATTTTCAACACAATCTTTATGTATATTTCTGGTGCAATAACATCAAATTCCTACAGACGTTCGTAAATACTACGAAGGAATATCCCGTGGGCAACGGAATTTGTTAAGAGCTGATTACAAGTAAGGGAAAGAAGTGATTAACGTTTCTGTGTGGTTAGACGGACAAAGGTATTATTTTCGTCCCACTGGGATGACAAACTCTTTTAATGTCGTGACAAGGATTGACTCATTTTCAACGCTCCATAACCTCGCTGCCGTGCGCGGACACTGATACAAGACCACTGAGACGCACCAGGACTGAGATCGCATCGTAAGGGCCATACATGCTTCGCTAATTTAAATTAGGCAGGTGGTCTTGTTGAGTTGTGTTAGAGATTATTGCGATTATTGACGATTTAAGATTTGAAATCTTAATAAATCAAAAGTTTTGATCCGAGATCTAGGGGAAACAATCCTTCAGTATTCAGCACGATTTGTGATTAGAATTTACGGAGTATACAAATCGAGTATAACCTCATTTTAGTTCCAATGTAATGATTGCGCCTGTGTATATCACCGTTATGTAATAGGAACCGGTGGACACCTGTTGAGTTAGTAAATATTTATTTGTATTCAAACATGTGCACCTACATGCTGGATTACATTTACAAGTCTGGAGCACAATGTAGATCACACCGACAAGACATTGCATAGCATGCCGGTAGGTACAGGTGCAACATACCTACTAGACATTTACAAATAACAATACGCTCAGCCGCCATTGATACCAATGAGAGAAAGTACACTGAGCCAATATTGATAGCCGATAACATTGTTTTCTATTTTCCGACACTACATTTTGATCTCGCGTCATATTGTATTTGAAATTAAGCTGAAATCTTTATCTATTATATTGAAACTGGAACATTCTTTAGAACTGTATTTAGTGTTCCAATATAAAGTCCAACTGTTTTTATTATAAGTAGCATTAGAATGTAGAAACGGTCCGTCCAGACAATAATGTTACACAGAATAGCACGGATGCTCAGTGGTTAACGATAGGACTGTCAAGAAAGACAGGGACGTGTACACTTGTAGAATAAATGATAGATACGTTAGAGAGCCAGCTTGCAGTGAAGTTCATGTATAGCAATGAGTGCAACGAATCAGTTTTATTGTCGTTTAACCTTCCCCCCCCCCCCCCCCCCCCCCGATGACGAGGGCACGGAAAATAACTTCCAATTCCTTGGTGGACCTATACCAGTCGTCTAAAACGATCATGCAGTGCGACACAGCAGGCTAGTTCTTATATTATTTCACCATATCTGTATGCATCTCAAAATGAAACCATAAATATCTCGAAAACAGTAATATGTGAAACATAGCCATATGATGTATGAATTGTATGGGTACATAAGCGGTCAAATCAGACTGGCGTCCATGAGATTCTCGATGTTTAACATACCTACTCTTCAATCTTCACAACCTTAAAATGACGCATGACTAACGATAAAAAAATATCTATATCATAATATAATATTATTGTAATGTTTGCAGGAAGTTACCTCTCGAGTACGAATCCATTATTTTGTAAGGCAATATCCCTGGTATTACTTTGACGACTAACAATACATTTATTACAGGTATTTTAGCCGTATATGAGCCATGCTTGTAAACAGTGACACTGTCACAAAGCCGCGCAAAGGTCAGACAGTTCAGTATAAATTAGTAAGCATATTTCTGCGTCCAAGCGGAGATACCAGTATATATACTAAATTCACGGTTAATTCAAAACATATACGATGTATATAACTATTAATCTTATCATAACCTCTGTTATATCGCTTACACACGGTGTGGTTATTTAAAGCGTATCATAATTAAGTTCAACAAAGGCCAATTATACTTTTAAACACATGTGAACAGTGAACCCCGTTCCTGACGATATACTGGATGAACACACGCGGTGTCGATAACTTAGAGACTGGGCCTAACACCATATCTCTCCAGTATTCAGTTTTGTTTAAAATAAAACATGTATAATAATTTCTGACAATACCCAGATATCGTTGTTAGGATAGTATTTCAGAGATAGGCGAGTTTTTATTGACCCCGTAACACACTAGGGCGATCCCTAGATGTAGGTAAATGGGAATAAGCCAACGAGATTACTAATGTAGTCGTTTTCCACACAGCTTGTAAATGGTATTAAAAGAGACTTTAATACGTGTGTATGGATGTGATGTAATGTTTAATACAAGTGTAAGATATGAAACCGGGCTATCTTTCTAGAAATAGTATTCATTCAACAGAGCCATGTGTTTTGAATTTGTCATTCCGTATGAAAACTTAGTTAAAGTATCTTAAAGATTTATATCAGTTTTTCGGTAATTCTATCATATTACATCGCTATGGCACATAAAACTATGGTTTACGACACCAATATAATTATAATATACTTCATATCCATCCATGTCTTCTACAAGAGGAGTACTCAGTAAAAAAATAAAAATAAACACGAAATCAACATCTTAACAGTGATACTGTCCATGCTAACGTTCATATAACGTTGTTTTTTTTTTTGTTTTTTTGTTTTATTTTTTTTTATCAAATAACATATACTCTTAAAAGTACCAAAATAACAATGCATTTAACACGATTTAACTAGAGACTCAAAAGTGTAAATATCATGATTTTGTAAAAAATATCGACATATTTTTTTTTTTATTAACAACTAGCTTACCATATTTATTTTTATTTACATATTCAACTGTAACTACCAAATAAGAAACCTGCAAATATATGAGTATGAATCGTAATTTCCTGTCTAGCTGACGGCAAGTTCATGTAAATACACACCACAGGTGGGTATGATGTGACTGTGTATTAGCAGTGACCACACCGTAGCGGTGATGGTAGTTTAAACAGAGGTGTTATCTTACTGTCTGTTGACTAAGAACATCCGTAGGTTTATGATCCCGTCCGTGGAGGACACAGTGAGTATACAATAAAGCCGAAGGCATTATGCCGTATCTATATTGTTATTCCCCTGGATTTTCTATATCACTATACAAAGCAACATTTCTCCCATTTACTGAGCTCCCAACGAATTTGAGATTGATAAATAGCTACGTTGCCGGTTCGCTATGAAGAAATGAAACTTTCGCCTGTTTGAAGTCCAGAATTTCATCAACGTCGGGATGTAACAAATTGCCACCTTCACACGTTGGAGAGTTCCCTTTGTAACTAAGCTTTGACAAATGAAATTCAAAATAATCCCAGTTCAGCCACTTTATAAACTGAGAGCCTATTGTGAATTCAAATGTAACAGATGATTAATAGACAACTTGGTAATTTTTGAAGGTAAATTAATTTTTGCTACAAAGACGTTTTATGCTATATTTGGACTCAGTTGTGCTAGGCCGTTCTGGTAACAATGACTGGCGTTACACATGTCTCTTTGATGTTACCGCTTTTGAAGATTTTCAACATGGGCATTAATTTGTTTCTTTTGACGGCAAAATCTTGCTCTCGGCTTATTTTAATAATATTTCATTGAACCTTTGCTTACTTTTGTGTGTGATTTCATATTGAATTTTATTTATATGTATAAGTTAGAGAGTAAGTAGGCATTCATTCTTGACATATTACATACTTTATAACACATTTTTTCGCCCATAAGCTATGTATTTTGGTTAGTTTTGTTACATGATATTGTTATATGTTGTAGCTATATATCCCATTGTGTATGATTTCCCTTCCCTTCGTTTGCTCGCCTCACACAAACAAATATACGTGGTGGTATTTCAAAGATAGATACAAATGGTTCTTTGAAATATTTTATGCGAATTACAAACGGTTTTTCTCCGACTGTGCATGGAGTAGGATCATAATGACAAGTAGAGATTCTCGACTAATCAAAACATCTTATGCATTAGCACCGTTTAAACAGACACATGATCTCCAAACCTCAAAGGAGACAATACGTAATACGTCAGAAACATAGAGTACATTAAATTGTGAAATCTCCTTACCGTCGCTTTGTGATGCGACTCAAAATCCCAACTTGGAGATGAACTGTAAGGCATTATACTATCTCGACAGCAGTATTAAGTTTTAATGTACCCGCGCCTCAGACTGGTTTGATAGTGTGTTTCTCTGTCTGAACGGGACAGAGATGAAAAAGGCCTTTGATACGTACGGTATTACACTTATGCTTGTCTGATGAAATAAGTCTAAATCCAGTTTGCACGGGCTATTTGTAAAATACCTTATCAGCCTATCATTTCGCCAGTCCCGTGCTTCAGATCACAGGGCTGACTCGGCTTCGGCAATCTTTGATCATTTACAGGTTATTTGCTCATTCTCAATGTTTTCTTTCATGTACCAACAAATAGAGATTTGTTTTCCCGTTCACAGTCGTTTCATTTCCCTTTGTTTTACGTTTAAAAGCTGATAATAAGGGTATATATCTATGACTACAAACGTTTTTGTATTTGTCTCATTTAGGTGGACAGACAACCCCTGAGCCGATTGCAGAAACCAATGGCAACAACAAGTCTGATAGAGATACGACCAACAAGACACGCAAGAAAGGTATTTACTAGAATATTCATAGGACACGGTAATGGGGGTCATTTCACTACTGCATCTTTTGTTTTGACCTACGTTCAAGAGAAATATCACTTGAATAAAGCTAATTAACTTTCAATGTAATTTTTTGTTCAATTAATATAGGAGAGTTTATTCTTAAATATCGCCTTTCAGACAGTGTAACAGGACCAACACACACTAGTAAACAAAATGCACAGTGTTTATAGTTTGGTATACAAATACATAGAAACACAACTACTGCAGGAAGACAATTTTTAATTCGTTCCCTGGTCGGGCCCCGAACTCACAAATCACCGAAACATATCTGCAGCTTTGACCAATGCACCGTCAAAGCCTCATCGAAAAAGAAGATTTTAAAGTTGCAGTGGTCAAAAGCCCAATAAACTCGATATATTCATAATGACAAATCATCTATTGATGAAATGATTACCTGCATTGCAGTGTGTAGTTATACACATGGATACGAGTTGCACACATGTGGTTTATTAGACACAGTGAATTATGACAGGCATTTCATATATTAAACCATCGGATCAACATAATTATACTAGTGTGGTCGGATGGCGCAGTGGATAACGCACTTGCATTTCACCAAGGTGGCCGGGGTTTGATTCCCCGATCGGACGTGAAAAGGTATGGGATAACCTTCCCGAACACGTGGGTTTTATTCGAGTACTCCGGTTTCCTCCCACAATAAGACACCCGTGCGCCAACATCCGGGCCAACAAGAGGGATTTATACAAGTTGCAAGAACTTATGTTTATAGTTAATTGGATATGATACATAGACACAGAACCTTTGCAAGAAATTACTTTTGACTCCTGTAGTATTTCATCCATGACAAAGATCAGTTTTCGATGATATTTATCAGGAACACCTGCTGCCGTTTCAAAAGAATAAAAAAATACTATGCGATGTTTTAAAGCACACTCGAAAATAAAAGTTTTCCGAAAATAAGATGGCATACAGTATATACATGTAAATCGGTAAAAAAACAATTTACATGGTAAACCAACCAACACGTTTTAAAGCTTCGGCAGATGTTTCTTTTCATTAAGCACAATCAAAAGTGTACTGGGTAAGGCATTTATACTCATGGGTTCGAACCCGGGCAGAGATAAGTGACCAAGTGTGCTACATAATATTGCGTTTGCTAAGCACTTTGGGGGTACTTTAAAGTAACCTCTTTTGATTTTAGTGTCACAGTCATGGTATTATTATGGAAGATTTTGCAGGGAGGATCCTCCCGGAGGGAATTGGGGATGAGGGTGGGGATAATATCACAGTAGTGAATACTTTAATTGTTTAAAGAGGGAATTACCATTAATCTCAGTTTGTGGTAGAACACTTAACACGTCCCGAGCTCGACTTCAATAGTAGGCGCTGCAAAAGATGACCTCTGCAATGCTCAAGATAGATGGTTCGTTATAGTATGCTTAGTAATACAGGAGACTCGTCATAAACCCGTGTACTCCTTCAACTAACTTGTCCTTACCTAATGTGATACTTTGATGTGCATGGTTAATACAGAAATGCCAACACATAACCATTATTTCAACACGATACCTTGTCATAGCTAAAAGAGCGTTTAATCTTCAAACCTGACTTCCGACACATTTGAAAAACCACATTGTTTTTATCGAAATGAAGTCTTTTATATGAGCATATACGCAGTGATAAATCGTTACGTATTGCGTGATTAAGGAAACACAGACATTCATACATTGGCTTATACATCCTTGTTGATCGTGTGCTACATCGCCCAGTGGGCACCTTTAGACATTAGATCTCTTCAAATCCACACTTACATGGATATGTCGTTCTACAAGTTCATAAGGCTGTATGTCTTTGATGAAAAAGTGAGAATGTTTAACAAACTCCTGAGTGAGAGATACTATTTGCTGATACGAAAAGAATCAAAGCACTCTATACCAATCCGTGTTTATACTAGAGGTTAAGCTGTGAGCAAGCCGCTCTGAAATCCATTTGATTTTTCCCATTGAAGTTAATATGACGACCACCATCCGGTGAGGTAGCTTTAGACAGGTCGCACCACTACAAGCCTAGCCGGCAATTTCAAAGGAAACGGTTATGTTTGAAATATAGGAACGTCTTTCTTGTATGTCATTGCGGATCCCCTTTAGTTAATAACTTAAGATGAGATACTTTAATGTTGGTATCAACTCAAAAAACATCTATAAGAAACGGGGTTAGAGTCGAGATAGAACATCGTCCGTTCTAGCATACCTTTATGCAAAAGCACCGAGTAACTCTCGTTTGGCACGTACGCTGCCAGACATTCCAGGAATCACTTTAACTGTCATTGCGAAATATTTTCTTGGGAAAGGGAAGAAAAAAATCAGATAGTCAGCCAAATACGCGTGTAGTTTTATCTTCTGTTTGTTAGGTTTCCGATTGGAGTCCCCAACGGTTTTCTCTCTTTCTAATATGACCTAAGAATGATATGTTAAATAAAATTTACAATGATTTTGTTTTTCTCTTCGGGTACGATATCAAAATGCACCACAAACAGGTATTAAGGCATATCATTTCTTTTTCTGTTCACATCAAATGTATCAGCAATAAAAATATACGAATAAGCATCACTGCAAGCTAACAATACTTACAACAAACAGACAAGTAAGTTACTAGTTACTTTAAACATACTCCTGTTTTCTGATATATTTATAAATATTTTATATAAATCGTGATAATTTGCTCATGGAGTCGCATAACGTAAATACATTTTGATATCATCCGCACAAGCAGGGCGATTTGAACGATTTACACTGAATATTTATGGCATTATGCTACAGACCAAGCGTTAAAAATCGAACGTTACAGCACACAAACGACATCCTGTAAATCTACACACATCCACTGTATCTCCTCGGCGGTAGCTCCCTAGGTACCTAGGGTTGGGCCGTTGTCACAGCTATTTGATCAATGACGTGTTCTGCTACCGTGTTCAACTCTATGCTAAGGTATTAACCATTGGTACCGATATAGTTATGTATATTTGGATTTTGTATTTTAACGTAAGAGGCGACTTATGTTGGAACAGCTAACATCTTTTCTCCCGTCCCTTCTTTTTCTTTTGGTCAGTGTTTCCTCTCTATGCATCCGTCTTCATATAAGGCTTTGTAGCACGTTTACTCCCCCACTACCCCCCTCCCCCCTACTGCAGGAGGGTAAGATACGTGCTTGCTTTGGAAACGACTGTCCATCTAAACAAAAAATCGTGAGCTAAGAGCATTCATGATAGAACATGGAAAATCGCACCATAAAGGTGAATGACGATAATGTTTATACAGTTAAATGTCTTGCCGAAACTACCGCTTTAATAGTGTCGTACAGCCACTGTAACATCCTTTTGGTGACGTAAAAATGGAAACTATAACTTTGGTCAGAGGACATAATGGAAGAATCCCTATGATGGCACGGAGATCACACATAGCATGCAGAGGGGCACAGCTGGTCGACTCTTTACCACCTAAGCTGAAGGGTTAACAAGAAAGTGAAAATACAGTTTCCAGATTTGTTTGTTGAAACTTCTTCAGTATCTGAGCTATCGAGATGTGTTATCATAAAGTTTAACATTGTTTTTTGTTTTATTTCAGGTGGTTGCCACTGTACAAAACGACCACGACTTAAGAAAAGACTGTATAAAAGAGGAAAATTCAATTTCGGTAAGTGATGCTACATACGGAACTACAATTGTACCTTATAAACATACATAAGTAAACAAACAGACATCAAGAAGGAGTCTTCATATAAATAACACTATCGTCCCTCCACCTTCAAGGTAAATCGATATCAATCAAAAATCAAATCACTTCAGTAAATTGGAAGGACCAACTGACGAGGAGTGTCAGTTTTATTATTTACAATGACACTAATCTTTACAAACTCAATACAGGAATCGAACTTATAACCTCTGTCACATACAAACATTAGCATACCCCCCTCCCCTTTATAATCGAAACGTACAAAACAAAGAATAACGCCTTATCTCTTTCACAAATAAACATAATTCGCAAGTAGATATAAAAACAACCAGTGTAACTCTATCACATTTAAGTGTATACCCCACAACGTAGTCCCTCTATATGACCACTTTAGGTTGTCAGGCACGCAACTAGCGATACCTACACACCTCTTTATTTTGTATCTAGCTGTATTAATAATGCCAAATTTAAACTGAAATAAGATTTAATTTCACTTAATTAGCACATATTAAAGTAAGACATTTATTCACTGTTATATATCCTCCGGAATATGTACAATGTTATAATCAGCGTGTGGGAGAAGTGAATCAATCAAATTAAATACGTTGCAGAAAGTTTTTTTTCCACTATATTTAATTTCAAAAGGTTTACATGCACTTTGTAATTGACAACAAACATATTTTGGTTTAAAAAAATAAAAACTTACATTTGTCGCCAGCTAGATGTAAGTTAAACAAGGGCATGAAAAACAAATCGAAAAAGGAGTAACTTATGTTAAAGCGAGGTCAAAAGTCACACGCTGGGATACCGGTGACTGCTCATTAGTTACATAAGTCAGGTGAGCATGGCCTGAGGATTCCACATTCTAAATGAATTAGCTAGTACAGGTAAAATATTACACGTAGCCAGTATAGCTGATATCACGACTTGAGTCTCCTATGGCTATCACAGGGTGCCTATTTGGAAGCAAATAAGTTTAAAGTAAATAAAACTAATTTTAGACACATGGATAATTAAGCTAAGGTTGCAGTTAGCGTGTTAAGTGTACATAAATACATTTGACAGCTTCTTGTAATCGTAAATGTTAAACTAAACCATGATGTATCAACAAGGTAAGGTGCGCCGAGATCAAAGACGGCTTACCAACAATGAAGGATTGTGTATTGACAAAATGGCCGACGTTTACAAATACCTGTACCTGTGTACAACTTACCTTTGTAAACAGGTGAAACGGCACGAGAGGATTTTTTTTACAAACTAATTAGATTCAGTCATTCATTACATATTCGAATGGTGTGGTATTTTCAAAATTGGCTCCTTCTGAGGTGCATGTATGTTTAAGTAATTACAGCGAATGTATGAGCATGTAGGCAGCCTGATGGATAACGCTGCGTTCTTTTATCATTGGTCTGTGTATGATACTGTGCACCTAGACAAAAATATACCATATGATTTTTTTTTTATTTTTTTTTTATTTTTGTTTAGTTACTTTTAGTTGAAAGTAAGATGACGGAGAAAGTTAAATAAATATAGCATATTAAATGTATGTCTTTCGCTTCTGTTTCACAGAGATGTATATTAATAGAACCGAAACATTGTAAACTATTTGTTAAGCTTGTGTTACCCAGATAAGACAGGGTTTTACTCTAGTATAGAGGAATGGGAAGTCGTTGCTTTGGTGGTTATCGTGGATGTAAATGTTACGTTATCAATAATTTTAACATGAATTCAATAAAATAATTTATCTGACGATTACATTAATTTGTATTATACTGTTAATCTGTATATGAATCTATAAATGATACTTTTTGTGGTTTTGGTTTTTGCAACACCGACCTTTTCAGCTGGTAGGTGTAGGTCGTGTCGATTCTCAACCAATACCAACTTGTTTTTTTTATTTATATCTTTATATATTTCATAGAACAATAAACCGGTCGTCAATTAAAAAATTACCAAAAAATAAACAAAATCCTGATCTTTGTGCAGACATTTTCGGGAAACATTCGTTTTCTGCAAAATCTGGTTCGAGTTTAGCTTCACGATAATCAGTTCACTGATTCAAGTTAAAACCTTTCACTACCTTTTTTAAGATTAGAAACGATAATGCTAAAAGAAAAAAAAGAGGAAAATTTAAGAAAATAAATATAAAAAATATTTTGATTTACGTCCCATTAATCTAACAATTCTTTAGACAAACACACAACCTGTGCTACCGCTCTCAAATGCTGGTTTATTGTGATAAATAAAACACTCTGGTTTCATCTTTAGCTTACAGGTGTCAAGTTTTATTTAGTAATTGTTATTTTATGTGCTCATACAGGAGGAATCAAATAGTTTTTGAAACATGAACCTCTTCGTCACGACGGAAACTTAACCTCCAACAATTAGCTGTTATAGTATAGTGTTTATGTATGCTCGTCTTTGCTTTATGTCTGGTATACACGAACGTGGGTATCTCCCGTACCGGGGTTTGACAGAGTATTAGTACGTGGATATCTCATATACCTAAGTTTGACGGAGTATTAGTACGTGGATATATCATATACGTAAGTTTGACGGAGTATTAGTACGTGGATATCTCATATGCCTAAGTTTGACGGAGTATTAGTTCGTGGCTATCTCATATACCTAAGTTTGACAGAGTATTAGTACGTGGATATCACCTGTACCGAGTTTTGACGGAGTATTAGTTCGTGGATATCTCATATACCTAAGTTTGACAGAGTATTAGTACGTGAGTATCTCCTGTACCGAGATTTGACAGAGTATTTGTACGTGGATATATCATATACCTAAGTTTGACAGAGTATTAGTACGTGGATATCTCCTGTGTCGATATTTGATGGAGTATAAGTACGTGTATATCCCCTGTATCGATATTTGACGAAGTATAAGTACGTGGATATCTCATTTACCGAGTTTTGACGGGGTAATACGTACGTGCATATCACATGTACCGAGTTTTGACGGAGTATTAGTACGTGGATATCTCATATACCTAAGTTTGATGGAGTATTAGTACGTGGATATCTCATATATCTAAGTTTGACGGAGTATTAGTACGAGGATATCTCCTGTACCGAGATTTAACGGAATATTAGTACGTGGATATCTCCTGTACCTAAGTTTGACGGAGTATTAGTACGTACGTGGATATCTCATTTACCGAGTTTTGACGGTGTATTAGTACGTGGATATATCATATACCTAAGTTTGACAGAGTTTAGTACGTGGATATCTCATGTACCGAGATTTAACGGAGTATTAGTACGTGGATATCCCCTGTATCGATATTTGATGGAATATAAGTACGTGGATATCCCCTGTATCGATATTTGACGAGGTATGAGTACGTGGATATCTCATTTACCGAGTTTTGACGGGGTAATACGTACGTGCATATCTCAAGTACCGAGTTCTGACGGAGTATTAGTACGTGGATATCTCATATACCTAAGTTTGACGGAGTATTAGTACGTGGATATCTCCTGTACCTAAGTTTGACGGAGTATTAGAACGTGGATAGATCATATACTTAAGTTTGACAGAGTATTAATACGTGGATATTTCCTGTACCGAGATTTAACGGAGTATTAGTACGGGCATATCTGAAGTACCGAGTTTTGACGGAGAATTAGTACGTAGATATCTCATATACCTAAGTTTGACAGAGTATAAGTAAGTGGATATCTCCTGTACCGAGTTTTGACGGAGTATTAGTACGTGGATATATCATATACGTAAGTTTGACGGAGTATTAGTACGTGGATATCTCCTGTACCTAAGTTTGACGGAGTATTAGAACGTGGATAGATCATATACTTAAGTTTGACAGAGTATTAATACGTGGATATCTCCTGTACCGAGATTTAACGGAGTATTAGTACGTGCATATCTGAAGTACCGAGTTTTGACGGAGTATTAGTACGTAGATATCTCATATACCTAAGTTTGACAGAGTATAAGTACGTGGATATCTCCTGTACCGAGTTTTGACGGAGTATTAATACGTGGATATATCATATACGTAAGTTTTAAGGAGTATTAGTACGTGGATATCTCATACATCTAAGTTTGACAGAGTATAAGTACGTGGATATCTCCTGTACCTAAGTTTGACGGAATATTAGTACGTGGATATATCATATACGTAAGTTTGACGGAGTATTAGTACGTGGATATCTCCTGTACCTAAGTTTGACGGAGTATTAGAACGTGGATATCTCATATATCTAAGTTTGACGGAGTATTAGTACGAGGATATCTCCTGTACCGAGATTTAACGGAGTATTAGTACATGGATATCTCATATACCTAAGTTTGACAGAGTATAAGTACGTGGATATCTCCTGTACCGAGATTTGATGGAGTATAAGTACATGGATATCTCATTTACCGAGTTTTGACGGGGTATTACATGTGTGGATATTTCCTTGCACTGAGTTTTGACGGAGTATTAGTACGTGGATATCTCCTGTACCTAAGTTTGACAGAGTATAAGTACGTTGATATCTCCTGTACCGAGATTTGATGGAGTATAAGTACGTGGAAATCTCATTTACCGAGTTTTGATGGGGTATTACGTGCGTGGATATCTCCTGCACCGAGTTTTGACAGAGTATTAGTACGTGGATATCTCCTGTACCTAAGTTTGACGAAGTATTAGTACGTGGATATCTCCTGTACCGAGATTTGATGGAGTATAAGTACGTGGATATCTCATTTACTGAGTTTTGACGGAGTATTAGTACGTGGATATCTCATTTACCTAAATTTGACGGAGTATTAGTACGTGGATATCTCATATACCCTAGTTTGACGGAGTTTTAGTACGTGGATATCACCTATACCTAAGTTTGACGGGGTATTACGTACCTACATGGGTATCTTCTTTATCGAGTTTTGACAGAGCTTTAGTACGTGGCCATTAGTCCGTGGGTATAACTGAGTATTATGTACGTGGGTATCTCCTATTCCTATCTTTGATAGAGTAGCCTCCCATACTGAGTTTTGGCGGGGTTTTAGTACGTGGATATCTCATATACCTTAGTTTGACGGAGTATTAGTACGTGGATATCTCCTATACCGAGATTTGATGGAGTATAAGTACGTGGATATCCCCTGTATCGATATTTGACGAAGTATAATTACGTGGATATCTTATTTACCGAGTTTTGACGGGGTGTTAGTACGTGGATATCTCTTGTACCGAGATTTAACGGAGTATTAGTACGTGGATATCTCATATACCTAAGTTTGACGGGGTATTAGTACGTGGATATATCATATACCTAAGTTTGACAGAGTATTAGTACGTGGATATCTCCTGTACCGAGATTTGATGGAGTATAAGTACGTGGATATCTTCTGTGTCGATATTTGATGGAGTATAAGTACGTGGATATCCCCTGTATTGATATTTGACGAAATATAATTACGTGGATATCTTATTTACCGAGTTTTGACCGGGTATTACGTACTTGGATATCTCCTGTACCGAGTTTTGACGGAATATAAGTACGTGGATATCTCATATATTTAAGTTTGACATAGTATTAGTACTTGGATATCTCCTGTTCCGGGTTTTGACGAAGTATTAGTACGTGGATATCTCATATTCCCTAGTTTGACAGAGTATTAGTTCGTGGATATCTCATATACCTAAGTTTGATGGAGTATTAGTACGTGGATATCTCATATATCTAAGTTTGACAGAGTATAAGTACGTTGATATCTCCTGTACCGAGATTTGACGGAGTATAAGTACGTGGATATCTCATATACCTAAGTTTGACGGAGTATTAGTACGTGGATATCTCATATACCCTAGTTTGACGGAGCTTTAGTACGTGGATATCACCTATACCTAAGTTTGACGGAGTATTACGTACGTACATGGGTATCTTCTTTATCGAGTTTTGACAGAGCTTTAGTACGTGGCCATTAGTCCGTGGGTATAACTGAGTATTATGTACGTGGGTATCCCCTATTCCTATCTTTGATAGAGTAGCCTCCCATACTGAGTTTTGGCGGGGTTTTAGTACGTGGATATCTCATATACCTTAGTTTGACGGAGTATTAGTACGTGGATATCTCCTATACCGAGATTTGATGGAGTATAAGTACGTGGATATCCCCTGTATCGATATTTGACGAAGTATAATTACGTGGATATCTTATTTACCGAGTTTTGACGGGGTATTAGTACGTGGATATCTCTTGTACCGAGATTTAACGGAGTATTAGTACGTGGATTTCCCATATACCGAGTTTTGACGGGGTATTACGTACGTGGATATCTACTATTCCTTGATTTGACGGACTTTAACCTACGTTTATCTCCTTTTCACATTCAGTCCTGAATTTGTCTTTTCTAGCATACTTTTTTATAAAACTTATTAACGAGACATTAAGATTTTTTATTTTTATTTCCGGCGAAGACAATGACAAGATATATTTTATGTAACTAATGTTGTGGTTTGGTTTATCAGGTTAAGAGTTATATCAACAGTCAATTTTATTTATGGTGTGCCTCAATATATGTTATGTATGTGTAGGTCCTACGGGCGGGGAACGTTGTTGTAATTGCCTCCTTTCGATACTCTCTGATGCCCATATTAGAGTGTCGCTTCAAGCACGGTACTCCATCTAGATACATTATACTGACCACGGCTAAAAAAAGTCGTTGATACCTTTACTGCTGAACGTTTAATAAGGAATAACAACTACAATTTGTGAAGAGTTTGGTTTGTCCCGCCCTGAGAACCCTTTGCCTTACTAACATAGACGAAAATATCATTCCTTCCCACCCACTTACAAGATCTGGTTATTTGCACGTGGTGGTGAAAACTTATTGCGTCATACCCGGTGACGCGCTGTACTTTAGATTATAAATGTTCCACAACATCGCGTGTCGTTAGTAATTTTTAACAAAACACACCGAGAGAATGATAGACAGCCCATCAACCAGAAATAATCGCACATGTTAAAAGGTGTGCTAATCATAATTAATCCAGACAGTTGTCCCTCCAACCATATCACGTTATCGCTATTGAGGTCTAGATGGCAAAGATATAAAATTTCAAGACAGTTTCATGAATGAATATGTAATAATGTTGACGATTAGTCTATTAACGGACAGACGTATGTGTGTGGTATCATCTTGTGCTTTACAAACACTACAAAAACTTGGCGCGATGAATGGATTCTGCAAATTCACGTTCTCGTGATTGTAGATACGGGAACTTCTGTACTCTTAAAGCCGAAGAACATATAATTGATCGTCACAATAAGACGCCCACAAATCCTAATTTGACTTAATGTAAGGTTTGTATTAGACATTAATATACGTAAATTACCTTACTCACGCATCGTGTATATTAGGTACAATATTGGAATGTAATCGATATAGTCAAATAATATAAGTACTTGCTTTCGTTTTAACAATATGAGAATACCGCATATTCAGTTTTACCTGGGTAGGCAAATGCTTCAAAACTATTGAATGAACTGAAGACAGACCAAGTTGTAGGAGTTTTACTATCATATCGGCATAGAGAATATCACACTTTCATAAACTATTTTTACGACACAGAAGTAAAAATAATTTAAAAGAACGTGCACTGATTCGTCAGTACACATGGCCAACACTCAAACATTAACTTGGTAAAGCGAAGACCGAGGAGACATCGAAAGAAAATGGAATGCATATGAACTCGCGAGAAAAATTTGAGTCCCAAAATAAAATATGTTTCGGTTTCATTTTGCTTTCGTGCTGACGGTTATCGCATATCACATATCAACCTAGTGAAACAAAGTACTCAATTATTTTATAAAGCCAGCGTTTATGCTTATTTAATTGTCCTTTCAGCGATACGAGCTCGAATTCTTGGACACGACACTGCAAATACAATTAACACAGTGACTAGAGTGAGCGTCATCAAAGTCCTCAAGAGCACACGTGTACAAATTGTTGAAAACAATGGCATTGAACTATGGACAAATTCTACGTGTGTGTGTCCGAAGCTGCTCCGTCGGAGGGAATACCTTATTATCGGATACGACGATCCCGCAACACAGCGTCTCCTCTTCTTCGACAATTGCTTCGCTTCCAAGTGGCAAAAGAGATGGGAAAAACGAATATCGGTAAGTTGAAAAACAGGAACGATATCCTAAATTAGAAATATAATATTTATTATTTACATAAATAAAGAGAGTTGAAAAAGGAAAAAAAAATATTCGAATTAGCAGGATTCTGTCATTTTCGAAATTATTTGGTTTGGTTTTATTTTGAATAACGTCCTGTTAACAGCTTATGTTATTTAAGGACGTGCCTCCATGTGTGTTGTGTATGCGGAAAAACTGTAAGCTTGAAATGAAGAAAGGCATGTTGGACTAGCTATATTCACTCCTGAAAAAAATGAAAACATCAGAATCAAATATGTCAGTAAAACACAATTCTGGATCTGTAAATTGTGTTGTCGGTAAAATTCGAACGATGTTTGGCCACCAACAGGTGCATTCCAAGAATTAACATTGTTTGGCATCGGTAATGGGTAATGTGTACCGCTTGGAGGCTGTCTATAACGCATGTGGACTATTAGTTATGTTAATTAATCTTCCAATATATTATGCGAGATAGCATTACAATGGTTCATAGAAAAGCAATGCTTGGTTAGAACCTGGTTTTTTTTGCAATGCCAAGCGTTTTTGTGTTATGAATAAGGGAGTAAGTAAAAAATGTGTTTGTGACATTCCTCCAGTTTCAAATCTATAACGTTAACACTACTGGAACAAAAGGGGGTCTGTGAAGAAATAAGGCCTTCTGAATTAGATTATTATTAAATACACACGCAAAGGAATGATAATTTAGCTATCAGAAACAGAACATTGATAAGTCGACAAGTATATCCAGATGGGGATGCAAACATCAGGGCGGTATTGAATAGTTACTTATCTTTTTAACCACAATGCCTAACAATAGCATGAGACACACACTGGGTTCAAAAATGCAACCAAGGCCTTGGGATAACTGTCAAGAATGTTTGTGGAGCAGGGTATGTAAGCGTAATGGTAAAATACATACTTCCAACTTCAAATAGCAATCTATTATGTCAATGATTTATTAGCGAAATGACGCATGAAGGTAGTGATGCTGATATTTTCATGATATTCAATCTTAAAAACCGATACATTCTGACATTTTAAATGTTTTTTCCATTACAAGCAAAGTATTTATTTACACTTTCTGGTTAAATACAAGTATATTAAGAGGTAGGAATAAAATGCACCGGGACCAAGCCGGTATTCGAACCTTGGACTTCCGGTAGATTTAACTAATTGAGCTAGCTACCTGTTCTACACTATGTGAACTAGAGGGATGTTACTGCAAGTAACCTGCTGTTGGATAGGGATCCTTAAAATATACAATTTGGAATAAAGATGATCTGGTAATATTATTTTTTTTCCATGCAGAAATGGAACAAAAAGAGAAGAACATGTAGAAAGAAGAAACGCAAAAACTGTCGCGTGAACCGGAACAAAAACCGAGTAAATAGCACAGGTAGCAACCAAAGTGTAAGAAATCGAGGACGAGAGAACCGCCGGAACCGGAAAAAGAATAGGTAAGATTTGATCCATATAAAGGATTTTGTTCCTTTTTCCGGATAACATATTTAAATAACGGTTATTTCAATAGTTCACTTCAGTTGAAACGTGCGGTATTTTATAACCTGTATGGTTATTGAACATATACAAAAAGATGCTTTCGTTGCTATCGTCTTAAAATAAATATAACAAAGAATACATGAAATGAAGGAAGTCTTATTTTGTTTCAGAATAAATTCCACGTCTACGTCATAGAGCCATTCGACCTACACGGAGAGGATACAATGTACGTGAGAAACTCGTATGACGGACAACTGACCATACATGTTCACTGCTTCTCACTAATATCTGTGTTGTCTTGAATCAACCAGCGCTGATCACCTCCGTGGTACTTCGACGAACTTCGGATACCTTCGGCAATCTTCGATAATGTTCGTAAACCGTTGCTGACCTATTGGTTATTCGAAGTTTATGTTGATAAACGTTGTCCTTGGACAAATAAACATCCCATACTGTGATAAAGTAACTTGTTCGGCCATGTTTGTTTTGTTCGTGACTGTCTGTGGATATATAAAGGTTAAAATGATGTTTTTAATGGTTGTCTGATGGTTTGACATGCAAGTATATTATGAAACGGTTTCAATTTTACTTGACGGTTAGACGACTCCTTTTATGTTAAGTATTGTTCGTGATGACTGTTAAACGCCACAATGAAACATATTGGACAGATCTAAACGACTGGTAACTCGCACAACCAATGTGAGAGGCCACATGAACGTGTCAGCGTTACAACAATGTATTTCTGAACAGGTATAGTCTAGCGTTGTTGTAGCGAGCACGACATTACTAAATACCTCGTTATCTCGAAGCCTGTCTTTGGTTCCATGGGAGGTTATTGGTGTGTATTTTCATCTTAATATATCGAAAACTTCGTGGGTATCGAAGCATTTCCATGGTCCCTAGGACTTTATCATGACGACTATTGACTGTATATGTACATTGCTATGGAATCAGTTCCTAAACAGCGGGTTTACGGTAGTAGGCTTTGTTTTGGTAGGAGGGTAACTGAGTGCAACTGTGTCAGAAATGATTTACTCTGATGTGAAACCAATTCCGTCTTTGCGTATTGCAGAGTTATCTTCTCTTGAGAGCAGGTATTGATTGTTACGTCATTTGTTTGTGAGGGTAACGTCATCAATTTTTGAGAAAACGACGTAATTTTCTCACACGGACCAATGACGTAACAATCAATACCTGCTCTCAAGAGAAGATAACTCTGCAATACGCAAAGACGGAATATTCAAGGTATCAATTTGATGCATGTCTACGTCCATTATAGGGTTAAAGTAATCAATAATGATAAACTATTGACGGTGTTGAGTATTATTTAGTGCCATGAACACAAACATAGCTTCGTTTTACATGCAATCAAGTTTTTTTTAAATTGCACACTGTTATATTTCGAATGGTTTGTGAACCAAAATAAACAAATATTGAGCTCATGGTAGCTTTTTCAATGTTTAAAAAAAATCATCTTTTTTATAAATGTACTATATGCCAAAAAGGAGCCAGATGGAACTACAAAATGGGGGCTGTTGTACTACAGTACACGTATATGTATTAATGAAAAGATGGATTTTTGAAAACTTTGTTATAAACACTTATTTAAATACAGTTTCAGAGGAAAAATACTGTATGCTTTTTATGTAACCGACTAGTTTTATTTGAGGAAATTTGAACAATTTGAAAAAAGCAGCACTAACTCGGTGATAAATCTACATGCGAGTCCAGGGTATTCAGAGAACTGTTATTTGACCGTTAGAATTTCGGAAAATACTGAAACTTAACATGTTGGGACCCATATCTTTTAACCATACAGTGAAAAATGACGCGTACAAACTAATTGAAGGTTGATCACTGCTAACTAGATAAGGTATTGGGTAATGAAAGCAAGATTTTAGAACGATGAAACTCAAAAATGTATAGATATAATTAGCATAGTTCAGAGGGTCATGCGTTTACACGTGCATGATGATACGCTTTGCTTTAATGTAGAAAGGCCCGTATGTTTAACAGGATAAATATGAAAAAGGGCATCTTACTATATCATAGGCGCATTTGATATTCATATGTATAGACATGGACACATGGACATGATTTACTCTGTCAATCGGTGTTTTGATTGATGTTATTGATGCCATAGTTTGCAAATAACTTTACTAAGATATGTGTCTCTAGCACGCAGCTGATGTCTATAGATAGACAGTAGATGTCAAAGCGAGTTGATAGTTTTAAAATGATAAAAGCATTTAACAGTTAAGGTTAATTTTTATTTCGCTTAAATTTTCATATTAACCTATAAAACTAATGTCATTGAAAATAGATTGTCAAAATAACACGATAAAATTTATATTCTTTCTGTAAATATTTTGATGAAATTTTGAAACATTATGTGATATCATTGCATCCTATTGTAAAAATACACAATGTGAGGCAATAGTTTTGTTATTGTGAAGTGTTTGTATTAATAGTAAGATTATCAACTATTTATTTACTCTTAGAAAGATAAACATTATCGATTTATTTTCTGCGTCTCCCAATGGTAATTCCAAGTTGTTGATTCCTATTATTTATTGTGTTTTCGTGTAGCAAACATGTTGGTCTGCTTTGGTTATGTAGAATGTGATTTGTATAGATTGTAATATATTCGATACGATTACTTGATGTAAATATGATGTGTATATATTTATTTGCTCACCTGACAAGAAATGGCGTAGAATGTCCGTCGTTTGTACATCCTTTATTTTCTGTCACCAAAAAATCGTCTTCTCAAGAATCGGTAGACGGAATTCAACCATAAGAAAAAAAAATCTACGGGGAAATGGAAGGATACAAGAAAACTTATCGGGTGCGTTAGTAGTTGACGTTAAAAACAAAGGTATTGTGAAAGTGGGATGCTGATAATACATCACATTTACGGTGAAACATAGGTGTGGTAAAAACGCAGTCTGTGATACGAAATAGTAGGTTATGGGAAATGTTCAACACACATTTAATGAAAAGGGATGTAATAAGGGGCAGTTCTAAATCAATGCATAGTATCAGTGATTTAACATACGCGAACATTTAGGAATCAACCAGTGGTCTTGTGTGGAATAGATTGACTTTTTAATCAATAAAAAGGGAAATTAAAAATTGGATATATACAGCTGCATTGTAAGGTACTGTATAACATCAATGTCTAGCGAGGTATTCAACGCTGGGATTTCAGAAACAGGTTTTTCAGGTCTGTTCAGATTAATTATGTAATTTATAGAACAATACTGTTTCCATATTAGATAACGTTATTACCAGATGAGCGAATTCGGCGCAGAGAGCGTCTTGTTGCAATATAAGAATTGTTTCTGTTGTACAAATCGATGAAATAAATATTTATAAAATTAATTTCGTTTCTTCACTTATATCTTTATTTTGATGTACCTTTTTGCTTTTTTAAGAAGAATGCAGTAACCATTTTGATACCTATATTTATTTATTTTAATTTAATTATTTCTACTCTATTGGTATCTTTTCACTGTTCACCGTTGAATGAGTTGTGATAACGTCAAAGGTTCGCTCGTCCCCTGACTCTGCAGGGGGTCTCACACAATTTCATACATACGATATTGCAGAGGGAGATTTTTTTCGCGAACGAGCACAGTTATTCTTAACATTAGCTTAACAATTCTATCAACTTAAACAAAAATTCAATTCTAGCGTGTCGTCGTAGGCAAATATAATATGTAAATACTTATATATTTGTAAACCTTTTCGAAACAAAAGTCTTAATTAAAGAGGAATTCTCATTCAGCTTTCAATGTTTATGTAACTAAAATTTAACTTCATCGAATCAAACTTTTCATAATAAACAGAAGAAAGTTTTCTATCAAATTTTAAAATCATCAAATTCGTATAACATATGACCTCATGATACAGATATGTTTTTGATATAATTCAAATAGCTAAAATTGCCTAGTTGTTTACCCTACAACAAATGCACGTGAGGAAAAAGGGACAAACAACGTGTTATATTCCTGATTAAGAACTTTGTTAATGTGAACGGTTAAAGTAGATATCGAATTTAGTCAATGGTGTAAAATGAACATATGAAACGGATTTCCGTTAACTGGTTCCCCCTGATCGTGTATTTAGTTTCCGTTCTATATACTGAAGCCAAGCTTAAAGGTAGTAGGTACTTTAACAACATTTGAGGGGGATTGTTACGTGAAATTGATACACTGTTGAATTTAATGACAACAATGACAGAAAACAATATCTTCTGTATATTGCAAAAAAGCATATTTAACCCTATTCGAATTACAAATATTTATAAAATTGAAATTCACATTCAGAACAGTAGGTACATTTATATAAGTTAAAGCACGTATTAATGGAACGCTTTTCTATAGTTAGCTTTGAAGGGTGTCAAGTGTAACAGATATACGCAAACACAGGAAATTAAATCATATTGAAATGTTTTTTCTCTTAATTTGATATGCTATCCGAGTTAATGATGTCAGGAAGTGCAGTGTTTGGCCAGACCGGGGTTATTTCACTACATGTTATTCTTTACGTCACAACGGGGCACCAGAAGTGGGTTAATATACACAAACTTATTTGTTCAAAGCAACTTTTATAAAACTTTTATTAATGAAAATTTACACTTTATCAGGTCAAATAAAAACTAAGGTGGCAGATTCTTTTTGGTCCGAAAGAGACATATTTTACAATTCCTAATTCTCATGATTTACCGAGTTTGATTGCCTGGGGCTTAAGGTCCTTGCAACAGCTAGGGTTATATCGAGACGTGTAGCTAGGGTTGGTTGTACAGGATTTAACGTCTTATCAACAGCTAGGGTGAATTAAGGACGTGCCTCCATGTGTGTTGAGTGTGTTTACATGTACGTATGTGTGCTGAAGACAGGGTTTGTTGATGAATTTGTCTCCTGGTGATGGCATGGATCTGATGCCGACTTTATAGTGCTATCTCACTGAAATACAATGCCGAAGGTAACAGGAAAAGGATTCCACACGATCGCATTGAACTGACAACGCATTAACAATCATTCAAACTACCCTAAATACTGAGCTTTTAGCAGGGAATAACTACGATTTTTACGGGCTTTTGTGTGTTCCTGACTGGGACAGACCCCATAGTTATCCCCATTAGGGCGAATGTTTGACACTAAGGTCAAACTAGAGGCAGTACAAAGTAAGGCGCTAGGAAGTTAGTTAGGTAGTAGAGAGGAAATGTTTATATCCAAAATGTTTCAATGAGCGCATACGATTAATTTTGGTTGCTTTTGTGTTGCCAAGTAAATGGCACAACATGAAATCATCAATTCGGCAGGGTTTCCTCTCACAACATTTAGCTTGTAACAGGAGGTGTGTTATTTTCCTAAATCCCGACTTGCATGGGTGTGTGCCTAAGGAGATATCGTCGAAAAGTACAAGAGTGAGAAAAATTAAACAAAATATGCTGTAATCTACACTCAAGAACTACTATCATTAAGATGGAAAGATCGTGGTTTTATTTCATCGTCGACTGGTATCAAAGCTGTGTGTCTTCAGTCATCGCATGGTGACTGCCGTAGTTCTGGATTGATATGTGGGACAGGAACAGTTTCAGACGCACTTAGTGCGTTTCCATTTTTGTGGGGTGTATGTCTTATCTTTGGCTTTACCAGTTGGTGCCTTTTTAATGCCTTATGTGTCTTCGTGGCGAATACTTTCTATTCATTCCTCAAAACCGTACTGGATAATAGTTCTGCATTTGAGATGAGGTTGTTTCCATTTCCTCAACATTAGTGAATTTCTAAATTTGGAAATGAGAGAACAGTAAATGAATCCAATGTTGTTTTATGCATATTATTATACATGTTTTGCGACAAACAAACAAAATAAAATAAAGTTTATAGTAAAATGTACTAATTGGATTGATTGATGGAGATACCCGTTACGTGCCTCAGTATTAGAAAGTTTCACAACGGGAGGTAACTGCATACTGTTGTGATATTGTGTTTGGCTGACAAGCGATTAGAATTGTCCTGATTGAATCATCAGATAAACAGATTAATACGTTTGAGAGATTGCGTGCCGGTCGAACCTCGCCCTCCCTCCCTCTCGGCCTACATTA